TCCCCTCCTCTCAGATGACAATGAGAGTGAGTAGGAGGATCTGGGAAGGGGAGGGGGAGCAGGGGCAGCAATTACTCTGTCAGTGATGGGAGGAGGGCGGGTGGGAGCCATGTCAGGTTTCGTCTATGTTCTCCCAAATCCCCCTGAAATTTAACCCATCCTGAATATACCATACCCAGACAGACACAGAGACACTCACATACCCAGAGACACCCGGTCACAGACACACACACACACACACACACACACACACCCCCATCCCATCCCATCACATTCACATAACACAATTACCCTCATTCCTAGTTATACAACCACTCAAGAAACACCCACACTTACATCTCAGAGCTGGAGGGGACCCCAGGAGGCATCTAATTCTACTCCCAACTTCAAGCCGACCAAGAATCCTGTCTCCAAGATCCCAGATAAGTGGCCACAACCCACAACATGAGAGGGCCCCCCCACCATGGGAGCAGCCCATTCTCACTTCAGACATGATGAGGAAGTCCTTCCAATTAGCTAGGCTCTTTACAACTTCTCCCCAGTGCTCCTAGTACAACCTTCTGAGGCCAAGTGGGCTGTGTATGCCTAATCCCTCTCCCCTGGGAGAGCCCTTCCAGGCACCTATTATCGGCACCCTGGTCTTCTCCAACCTAAACATCCTCAGTTCCTTCAACTGACCATCTCCTGTCCTCTACTCCTGGCTACCCCTCTATAGATGCTCCCCAGCTTAGCTTCCTCAAATGTGGATGAACACAGTGCTCCAGATATGGCCAGACAGGCAGAGGGCAGCTGGGCTGGCCAGTGGCTAGTTTGGGTGCTCTCTGTGCTTCTTTTAATGCAGTCTTCGAGGGGCTTTTTTGGGCTGCTGTATTATGCTCAAGGATATTTCTTAACCAAACTCAGTTGCCAAGGAGCTCTCAGCCTGCCACCTATGTCCAAAGTGAACAGGAAGATTTATGTCTCAAAAGCCCAGAGAGCATGAGGCAGTAATGGGAGTGAGCAGAACTGGGGGGCAGGGATTCAAGCCAGAGACAATCTCCAACTCTACCTTGGCATAGGGTGGGCTGTAGGCTACAAAGTCCTGAGTAGAAGGGGAAATGAAGGAAACATGCTTTTATTAAGGGCTTATTTTGTGCCAGGTGTTGTGCTAAGTGCTTGATCTTATTTGATCTTCACAACAACCCTGAGCTGGTAGTTGGTATTATTATCTCTATTTTACAGATGGGGACACTGAGGCAGGCAGAGGTTAAGTGACTTGCCCAAAATCACACAATTGTGAGTATCTGAATTTGGGGGCAGCTGGATATCATAGTGGATAGAGCACCAGGCCTGGATTCAGGAAGATTCATCTTCCTGAGTTTAAATCTGCCCTCAGGGGCAGCTAGGTGGCGCAGTTGATAGAGCACTGGCCCTGGATTCAGGAGGACCTGAGTTCAAATCCGATCTCAGACACATAACACTTACTAGCTATGTGACCCTGGGCAAGTCACTTAACCCCATTGCCTAGCTAACAAAACAACAAAAAACCAAACAAATCTGGCCTCAGACACTTACTAGCTGTGTGACCATGGGCAAATCAGTTAACCATCTTTGCCTCAGTTTCTTATCTGTTAAATGAGCTAGAGAAGGAATGGCCAAGAAAACCCCAAATGGGGTCACAAAGAGTCGGACACAACTGAAAATGACTGAACAACAACACAGTGAGGCTAGATTTGAACTCAAGTCTTCCTGTCTCCAAGCCCAGTGCGCTATCCATTGTACCACCTGGCTGTCTGGGTTTAGGCCACTGTTTTCATCCCCAGGGTTGGACACCAATTCTAATCCCAACTCTTACTTCACAATGATGCAGAGCACTGATCCCAGGCTGTCTAGATTGTTACTTCAATGTACACCCTCCTCCAAGGCCAGGCTTCTTTTCCTGCCCTTCCTGCTACTTCTGAATCCATACCCTGGACTGACTGAGTACCAGAGGTTGAAGATGGTGAGGAAAGATCATTACAAGCTTGCATGATGTAGAAGACCTGGGCATGGTGGCCTAGAGAACTCTGGGATTCACAGGGTTGGTACTCAAATCTGGCCTCTGTTACTAATTTATTGTGTGACCTTGGTTATGTCTCTTTTCTTCCATGGGGCTTACTTTTCCTGTCTGAAAAAAATGGGGCAGCCTGACATAGTGAATATAGGACGAGCCTTGGAATCAGCAAGTCCTGGGTTGGAGCTCTGCTTCTGCCTCATACTGGCTGTGTCGCCACAAGCAAGCCCCTTAACTTCTCTGTGTCCTAAGCAAATTTTTAAATTGGGGCTCGATCACGCTGATAAAATCACAGATCTAGACCTTTCATTTATTTATTTATTTATTTTGGCGAGGCAATTGGGGTTAAGTGATTTGCTCAGGGTCATACAGCTAGTACCTGTCAAGTGTTTGGTCTGAGGTAGGATTTGAACTCAGGTCCTCCTGACTTCAGGACCAGTGCTCTATCCACTGCATCACCTAGCTGCCCCTAGATCTAGACCTTTTAAAAACGGGGACAATAATGCCCACCTCCCAGGGCTGTGGTGAAGTAAGTCTTTACAAACTTTAAAATACTGGAGGAACTGGACTGATTTATTGACTTGATGGTAAAATGATGATACTCACAGAGAGAGGTGAGGAAATAAATGTCTTTCCTCCTAATCTGTTTCTTTCTTTTAATAATAACAATTTACATTTCTATAGCACCTTAGGATTTACAAGGTGATTTTCTCCCCACCCTGTGAGGGTGGGGAGCACAAAGGTTAATAACCCTATTTATAGATTGAAACTGAGGGTCAGAAAAGGAAATTTTAGCTTGAAAACTAGGGGATTATTCAGTCCTCATTTTATAGATTATGAAGCTGAGACTCAGGTAGCGAAAGGGTTTCTCTCTTTTTTTGGAGGCAATCAGGGTTAAATGACTTGCCCAGGGTCACACAGCTAATGTCTGAGGTTGAATTTGAACTCAGGTCCTCCTGACTCCAGAGCTAGTGCCCTATCCACTGTGCCACCAATCTGCCCCAAAAGGGGTTTCTTACAAGGTCAGACCAGTAGTAGCCAGAGTTAGATTCAGGTCTTCTGACTCCCAGACCAGTCAACTGAGTCTTGGAGCCCCTTAGTGAAGGTAAAGTCTATCTTTCCTAGGGCAGCCCATTCCACTTGAGTGTAATTTTCTCCTGCATAGAGTCTAAATCTGCCTCTTCCAGCCATTACTTTCCATTCTGCTCTCCAGGGCCAAGAAGGACAAATCTAATCCCTGTCCCATATGATATTCCTTCAGACACTTGAAGGCATGTTCCCCATCCCTCAACCTTCAAATCTCATCTCTAGGCTAAACATGCCCATTTCTTCCAAACCAGTCATTATGTGGGAAGGTTACAAGGTCCTTCACCATACTCATTGCCTTCCTCTGGATACTCTGCATCTCATCTATGACTTCCATCCATGAGGGCTACCAGCAGGGACTAGTAGCAGCAAAGTGTCCCCCAGCAGGTGGGGAAAACCTTCCCACAGGTAGCTCCAGATCAGCCAGGCTAGTCCCCCTTTCCACCTGAGAGTTGGAAGCTGAATTCTTAATATCTTAAATGCCCTTAAAATCCAGGCAGCAGGCCCCAAGAAAATAAGGCAGCCAGCTCCAGAGAAATCAGGCTGCAAGGCCAAAGTGAAACCAGGCAGGGCCCAGGGCGAACAGAGATTGACCTTAGCGTTGCAATGAGTACAACAGTGGTTCCTGCCAGGTTCCTGAGAATGGGGGGGGGGGAGTGGTGGTGGCCAGAGACAAGTGTTTCTGTGTCACCTGGTGATGTGCCCAGAGGAAGAGGGAAGAAGGGAGTGGGCAGGGCCACTGGGGAATGAGGTGTGGCCAGGGTAGATTCCTCCCTGTGCCCAGTAGGTATTCGGCTGTGCCCCCCAACATCCCGCCCATGTTTTGTCCCACACACCCCTCCCTCCAGCTGGAGCCGTCCTGGAGGACCAGATGGGGTTGGGGCCAATGGGGAAGACTGCCGTGGGCCAAAATAGAAGGCACCGTCCTTGATCTGCCTTGGGAGAGATGGGGCGCTATTCCTGTCTCCAGACTGTCGAGGACCTGCCTGGTGGGGGTTTCTGTCTGGCGCCTGCAGAGTGGGGCTATGGGTGTTCTCCCAGATCTGCCAGGGGGTGGAGGGGCGGGGCTCTGTCCGGCACGGGCAGAGGTTGGAAATGACCTTGCCCCGGGCCTGCCTGTCTTGGGGATGACGCGCCCTCCTGGGATGGCACCCGGCGGGCGAAGGGCAGCTTGGATCTTGACAAGGGGCGGCGTGCTTGTTCCTTATCCTCCCTGGGACCCCGCAGCTCCGGTCCTCCGAGTCACCTGCTCCCTGAGCTGCCGGTGGCCTCGGCCGGGGCTGAGCCTCTGGCCCCTGAAGGCAGACGGTCGGAGGCGGGCGTAAGGGAGGCGGGGCGGGACGAGGCGGGGCCGCGGGAAACCCGACCCTCCCAGGCCCCCAGCAGCCCGGACCTCCCCCTGCTCCGCCCCCCGCGCGCTCGGAGCCTCCTGCGGCTGAGCCCTGCCGCCCCGGGGGAGCCTCAGAGCCGGGAGAGCGGGAGGGTGGGCGAGTCGGGTTAAAGGGAGCCCGAGCTCGAGGCCGAACCTGAGCCGGCTAGCAGGGCAAGCCCTCGGCGCCAAGCCCACCGGCAGCCGCCGGCGGGACCCGACACAATCCTCCGGCTGCCTCCGGGACCCCCGGCCCGAACCCCTGCTCCGCCGTCGGGGAGTCGTCGCCTCCAGCTGCCCCGCTAGGATAGCGCTTGGACATCGCCCGCCGTCTAGGACGTCTGAGGCCCCCGCCGTGTCCGCCGCTGCCCCCCGGGCCCGGGATGACCGGGGCCCGGGGCTGAGGCCGGCGCCGGCGCCGGGACTGGACGGGGCGGCCCCCCAGCCCCATGGGCCAGCCGGCCCAGCCCCCCCGCGGCCGCCCCCTCCGGGCTGGGCCGGGTGGGATGGAGCCACGGCGCTGCCCAGGGGTTCCCGGGGCTCGGCCGGGCTCGGGAGGCCGGGGCCGGCGCCTCTGAGGGACAGCGCGGCCCGGGAGCCAGGTAAGGACGCGCCCTCTCTCTCAGTCCTCCCTCCTTCTCCTCTCCCGGCAGCCTTGGGGTACAGGGAGACCTCACGAAGAGAGCTGGGGTCTGGGCCGCTGTGCCTGAGAAGTGACCCGTCAGTGACAGGGGGGAGAAGATCCCACCGGGGAGCAGGCGGCTTCTGGGGGAGGATTGGTCAGGGGAGTCAAGTAGAAGAAGGAGGATTCGTCCTGGGATGGTGTTCTGGGACAGTGAGAATGAGGGGTGGGGTCTGTTTGGGATTGGGTCAGTGTGTGGCCAGAGGGACTTCTGCAGGTGGGGACTGAGGGCTAGTGGGAGGGGGTTGAGGTCACGGGAGGGAGGGGGTCGGTCCAGGGAATGTGGGGAAGGGGATTGATAGACTATGGACTGAGGAAGACTGACTGGAAGGTCAGTGTGGGAAGAGGGGGATTACAGGGGTCTGGATTAGTGGGAGGGGAGGGGTCCTAGTGGAGAGGCTCAGCATGAAAGGAGGGGGCCTGTTTGTGTGATGGGGGAATTTGGAGGGTTTGTAGTGAACCCCAGCGGAGGAGGGCCCCCACGGATCTCCTTGGGTCTTAGCTCCCTAAGGGGTGGGGGAGGGCTCTGGTCAGGGGTCTGCTGTCTTCCTCTGCCCCTCACTTTAGCCAGGCTTAGGGAGGCCAGTACCTTCTGTCCCTCCTGAGCGGTGAATGCTGCTGAGTTCCTGGGGCTTCCCCTTCTATCTCAGCTTGGTTCCCTCTACCACCACCTTGCCCACTCTCACCGCCACCACCTTCCCCCCAACTCCGCTTGCCAGGCAGAGAAAACACAGTCCTTGTCCCTTTGTCCCCCCTCCCCAAGTGTGAAGGGGCTTGGTCGGGGACAGCAGGGGCCCCTTGGAGGTAGTGAAGGGTGGCCGCCTGCTCCCCTTCTCAGTTACAGCTGTGGTGAAGTAAACATCTGTCAGCAGCCCATTCCCAGCCACCAGACTGCCTTCTTGCCTGCTCACCCGGGGACGCGGTGTCCTCCCCCCCAGGGCGAGGCCCTCCCCCCCTCTCCTGGGGCGCTGCTGACAGAGGCCACGTGGGGGCACCAGCGAGTAGGAGAAGCTAACTCTGGTGGGTTTGGGGTGGAGGGGATGGGGGTGTTCGAAGGTGCTGCTGTCTGGCCTGGAAGGGGGATGGTACCTGGCCTTTCCTGAAACCAGGGAAGCCAGGTGAAGGAGTGTGTGGCTTTAAACAAAACCCCAGCTCAGGCGGTCTTTCCTAGGTGTTGGGATCTTCCTTTTACAGGCTCTAAGGGACCATTTAGACCGATATCTTTTCCCCTTCCCCACTCCCTGAAACAACACATTCCTCAAACCTGGTTTGGTAAAACCAGGTAAAAACTAGGGGAAACAGACCAAGAGAGGGAGGAGACCTAAGGACATAGAGCTAATAAGAAACAAAGTTAGAAAAACGTCTGGTGGGGAAGCTGGGTATATAGAAGGGAGTATAGCTCAATTTTTTTTTCTTTAAAAAGCTCTGCTTTCAACTAAGAAGGATTTAAGCTTAAGATAGGAAGACTGAAAGAGAGGTACAGGGAGCCAGGGAATCTACTAGTGAGGGAAAATGCCCCATCTCAGTGTGTTTGTCTCCAAAGGGAACAACAAGAAGATGTATCCTTGGGCCTAGAATGTAGAGGTCCAGTCCATACCACCTGGGCCCGTATTTGTCTACAACGCCAGTTCTAGGGCCTGGGATCCCAGGGTGGAGGGCAGCAGCAAGCCAGGGCGCAGGTACAAAGGGTTGTGGGGAGAGGGAGGAGGCTAGGGGCTGAGACCCCTAAGCATCTTCCCTATGTATGGCCTGTCTACCCTGTCCTGTGCTGTCCTAGGTCCTGTCACTTCCCTGGACTCAGTGGGTCTCATAGGCTGCATTGTACCCTAAGCGTTGCCATCAGGACAAGGGGAGCTGAGATACGAGAGTTGAGGCTAGAGAAACAGGATGGTGAAAATGAGGAGAGACCTGGCCATGATAGACTCAGACCCTCACTGGCAGTCGAATCTCTGGAGCATCTTTCGCTCTGAGATTCCCACATCCTTGGAACACAAGATGTCAGATCTGGAAGGGACATAAAGTATCTGAGCTGGGACAGGCTTCAGTGTAGCAGTTAATCTAACCCCTTATTCTACAGATGAAGAAACTGAGGCATTTAAAAACTTATGCAAGGTCCCAGAGCAAGTAAGACCTGAACCCAGGACTTCTACCCCTAGAAACTGGGTCTTTTCCACTATGCCATGTTCCCTTCCTATGCCTTATCATAAGTGGGACTCACCCTACCATCGTCACTCGAGAGTGTGTGATCTGCTTCATGGTGGGAAGTTTCTTACAAAAATCACAGAATTTCAGATTTTGAAGGGTGCTCAGAGACCATCTTATCTAAACCATACACCACTCATGCCCAAATAAAATACCTAACACTGGCACAGCTAGGTGGCACAGTGGACTCAGGAGGACCTAAGTTCGAATCTGCTATCAGAAACTAGTTGTGCGACCCTAGGCAAGTAACTTAACCCCAATTGCCTCCAAAAACCAACAACAAAAATTAAAACTGAAATAAAATACCTAACATCTATATCCCACTTCAAGTTTTAGAAAGCACTTTATTTTATATTTATATGTATATATATACTTATATATATGCATACATATATGTATGTGTGTGTATATGTATATATATATACATACATATATATACATATAAAATCTTACCTGCTTCTCCTCACAACAAGCCTGTGAATTAGATGATAATATTATCCCCATTTTTTAGATGAGGAAACTGACGATCCGATAGGTTAAATCCTTCTCCCAAGTTACTCCAACCAGTAAGAGTCTATGGAAGGATTCAAACTCCAGTTTTAGTGACCCACAAGTCCAGTACTGTTTCTATTCTAGAAGGAGTTTTATTTTATTTTTTTGGTTAGGCAATGGGGTCAATTGGGGCTTGTCCAAGGTCACATGGCTAATATGTGTCAAGCGTCTGAATCCAGATTTGAACTCAGGTCCTCCTGACTCCAGGGCCAGCGCTGTATCCCCTACACTGCCTAGCTGCCCCAGTGTCTCCATTCTGCCATGTAGTTCCCACCTCTCTACAAAATACCTAAAACAAAACAAAACAAAACAAAAATACCTGACAAATTGGTTGTCTGGCCTCCAGTGGGGGTCAGCCCATAAGTTCTTGAGGCAACCCATCCTACTCTTGGGCAGCTCCAATTGGTGGAAAGTCTTTCCAGTGACATTGACTTCTAAGGTTGTTAAGATGTGCAATCACTTCCTAACAGAAAATCATGACTCCCAAAGGAGAAAAGCCTTGTTAATGGTCACAGGAAGCAAGATATAGAACTAAGGATTCAAACTCAGGTCTTTTGGCTCTACAGCCAATGTTCTTTCTCTGTAATGCAAGCCTGGTCCCCTGCCTCTGAGTCCAAGACTCAAGGATAGAACTGAGTGGCAGATGGAGACACCCTTGCCTTTTGCTACTACAAAGCTGACAACCTTAGATTCTAGGCTAAACTCAATACAACTGTGCCTGGCCCAGAGCACTGATACTTTGCCCACTTCTACCCTTGCATAACTGGTAGTGTGGCTGACAGAGTGCTGGATTTGAACTCGGAGCAATTGGGTTCAAATCTTAGTTCTGCCATTAGTAGCCGTGGGACCCTGGGTAAGCCTTTTGACTTTTCAGTAGCATGTAAGCTTCTTGAGGGCAGGGGCTAATTCATTTCTGTATTTATATCCCTGGCACCTAGCACCATGCCTGGCACATAGTAGGTGCTTCATAAATACTTGTGGCTTAAAGTCTCAGCATCCTCCTTAGTAAAATGGGGACATTAATACTTTCTACCTCAAAAGGTTGTTGGGAGAAGTGCTCTGCAAACTTTAATAAGCCTTATATACAAGTGTAGAGCTGGAAGAGACCTTAAAATTAATGTCATTTAGGGAAACTAGAGCCCAGAGAGGGCAAGTACCTTACCTGAGGTCACACAGCTAGCAAGCGGAAGAGCGGAAATTATATAATGCAAGTTACTACGATTGGTGGGAGGCATTTGGGAGCTGGCATTGGAAAGACTGAGAACAATGGGGGGAAGGTTGTGCTGGGTAGCAACTCAGAAGAGGAGGAACCATAGTGATGGACTAGAAGCCCTCTGCAAACGTCAGAGTGCTTATGTGTGTACATATTGGCTGTGCTCAATATTCCTGTGGGACTGAGGCAATCAGGGAGGGCTTCCTGAGCATGTGAGCCTTAAAGCATGTGAAGATTCAGATATAGGAAGAGGATAGGGATCAGCATGAAGGCGTGAAATGAGAGCTGATGGGAGAAAACAGAGAGCAGAAAAGGGGGTCTGGGAGTGGTGGGAGCAGTCCTTATAGGGAGACCCCATGGGATTGGGAGCTGGAGGGGTGGTTAAAGGTCATGTGGTCCAACCCCCTTGTTTTACTGGCAGGAATGAGACCCAGAGAGGTCACAGAGGCAGCACAAGGAAGCACCAAGTAGAAGAGCTGGAGTTTGAACCCTGGTCCTCTGGCTAGAAGCAAGGTTCTTTTCACCCCACTAAACTGTCCTAAACTCGCTGTCCTCTTTGGAGTAAAAGGCCTGGATGCTTTTTTCTCCTAGGCTGCAGAACCCCGGCACACTCCCAGGGTTGGGATGGCCCTTGGAGAATATATCACACAATTCAACTGCCTCATTGCTGGCTTCTGGGAAGCTGAAGGCCGGGGAACAGAGGGGAAGGGGCTGGGTCAGGGTGGAAAAACAAGCCGGGCAAAGGCACCCGTGCTGTTTGTTGGGGTGTCCCCCTCCCCGGGCAGGGGGATGGGATCTGGGGGATTGAGATGATGTGGGGCATAGGACTGGGTAGTCACCTACTAGGGCCAAGCTCAGAGGAGATCTCCCTCTCTCTCACTGCTCTTGAGCCTCTGGCAGTACCGCCTAATCCCAGAGTGCCAGGTGCTCCCAGGGGGAGGTGGCCTTGGGCTAGAGGGGGTGGGGTCACTCGGGGTCATCTGGGGTCACCAAGGGGGTCTGAGGCCTGTAGGAGGCAAAGGACAGGGACTATAGAGATCTTCAAGAGGTGGGTTCTGAGTCCCTAAGAAAGTGACAGAGCCACAGAATGTCAGAGCTGGGAGAACCTTAGAGCATGGAATGTCAGAGCTGGGAGGGACTGTGGAACATGGAATGTCAGAGCTGGGAGAACCTTAGAGCATGGAATGTCAGAGCTGGGAGGGACTGTGGAACATGGAATGTCAGAGCTGGGAGAACCTTAGAGCATGGAATGTCAGAGCTGGGAGGAACCTTAGAGAATGGAATGTCAGAGCTAAAGGAATCTTAGAGCATGGAATGTCAGAGCTGGGAGGGACTGTGGAACATGGAATGTCAGAGCGGGGAGAACCTTAGAGCATGGAATGTCAGAGCTGGGAGGGACTGTGGAACATGGAATGTCAGAGCGGGGAGAACCTTAGAGCATGGAATGTCAGAGCTGGGAGGAACCGTGGAACATGGAATGTCAGAGCTGGGAGGGACTGTGGAACATGGAATGTCAGAGCTAAAGGAATCTTAGAGCATGGAATGTCAGAGCTGGGAGGGACTGTGGAACATGGAATGTCAGAGCTGGGAGAACCTTAGAGCATGGAATGTCAGAGCTGGGAGGGACTGTGGAACATGGAATGTCAGAGCTGGGAGAACCTTAGAGCATGGAATGTCAGAACTGGGAGGAACCTTAGAGAATGGAATGTCAGAGCTGGGAGGGACCTTAGAATGTGAAATGTCAGAGCTTAGAAGGCTCATAGAACACAGAATTCTCATATCCCTTGAGGACAGCGCCAGTTTCTTTTTCTTCACTTCTTTGCATCCCATTGCTTAGCACAATGCCTAGCACATAGTGTTTAATAAACATTTGTTCCTGATCAACACAGAATGCCAGAGCTAGGAGGGATCTTAGAGGTCATTTCATCCAATCCCCTCATTTTACATATGAAGGCCCAGAGAGGGACAGTGACTTACCTAAGGCCACACAGCTTGTCAGTGGCGACCTGTGACTTGGTGTCAGGTCTTCCCTGCCCTCCTGAGCCCTGATGCCCTTTACATAGGCAGGGGGACCCTTTGCACATGGTTCTGACTTGTCTGCCTTGTAGGTCAATTTCTCTGTCTGTGGGCTCAGGGCTCCACAGAAGTCAGGCTCTAAGTACAAACTCTTGGCCTCTAGACTTGGCTTAATTTCCCACATTAAGGCTTAGGGGAAAGAGGGATGTGCTAAGGGTTCAGAGTACAAGCAGATGTGTGTTCTTTAAGCTGGCTGGAGTGTGTGTAGGTGGAACCTGAGGGAGAGATGGCAGGGTGGCCCAAGGTAAAGAGATCTAGGAGCTGAGAGTGCTGGGTCCTTGGTCTGGCTCAGCTACTGATTCCTTGCATTAGTTTAGGGGAGTCCCTTCCCCTCTCTAGGCCTCAGTTTCTCTGTCTGAGAAATGGAGGAGTTGGACCAGAAAGTGTAGAAAGTCCCTTCATCCTTTGGCATCTTAAGAATCTAAAATCCCCCTCTCCTCCCCAATCTTCTAGAAAATTCTCATTGGATTTAGAGCTGGAAGACCCTCTAATCCAGCCCCTCCCATTTTACAGATGAAGAGACCAGGGTCCAGAAAGGGAAGTGACTTGTCCCAAGTCCCACAAGTTAGTAAGCGGCAGAGCTTAAATTCAAACCCGGGTGTCCTGATTCATCCAATGTCCCTTCCGCCATCCTCTTCTAACTGCCCTCCAGAGGAGTGATTCCCCTGCTTCCCTACCCTCACCTCAGGATCCTCCACAGCAGGGCTCGGGCCAGGCGGCTCAGCAGTGCCAGCCCCAATTAGGCTGATCCTGTCACCTCCCTCCTGCTCCCCTCCCCCGCCCCAGATGCTGCACTGGGCTGGTGCCAGACTAAGGCAGTATGGTCAAGGTGGGAACTCTATGGGGAGGCCCTGAGGAAATAAGTGGGGATCAAGCCTAACTCCACCCCCCCACTCTACCCACTGCCCGGGACCCACTAGGTTTTTTCCACTCTGCATCACTCTACCTAACTCCTTCCACTCCCTCCCCTCAGACTTCCACCTTCTCCAACCCCACTGCATTTGTGTCAGCTGAGGCTGAGACTGAGACTGTTCAGAGTCTTTGACTTGGGCGCTCAATTCTTAGAACAGGAGTGGTCCTTAGAGACCCCTCCATCCACCTGTTCATTTTGCAGATGAGGGCACTGAGGCTGAGAAATAGGGGACAGACCTGCTTCAGGTCACAGAGTCACATCTCCTCTGGCTTCAAATCCAGTTCCCCTCTGGTGAGGTAAGACTTTGGGCCTCAGATTTTAGAGCTGCAAAAGGAACTTAGAGGCTATTGAATCCACCCCTCTGCCTCATTTTACAGAGAGGGAAACAGGCTCTCAGGAGTAAGGTAATCACCCAAGTCATTGACAAAGCTTAGACAAAGACCTAACTTGAAACTCCAGCTTCCAAGTTCTAGGCTTTCTCACCCCCTCTGGAATTCTAGAACACTGGTTTTGCAATCAGAAGAACAGGATTCCCATCCCAACACTCCTCCTTCTAAGCTGTGTGATCTTGGACAAACCATTTCCCTTTTCTGGGTATTGGTTTCCTTGTCTGTTAAATAAAGTGGCAGAACCAAATGACTTCTAAGGTACTTTCCCCTCTAACTCTTGAAACTCAGTGGCCCTCTCAGTCCTGCTTGCTATGTGACCATGGAGAAATTACTTCTCTGTCTGGCTCTGTTATAACCCCCACCCCACCCCATAACATCCCATTGTGATGGAGTAAGGGCTGGAGAATGTTGAGGAGCGAAAGTCCCAAGTTATCCCACCCTAGGCTCCTGGCTGCCAAAGTGGAATGAGCTCCTAAGGGTAGTAAGCTCCTTGTCACTGGTCATATTCAAGTACGGCCTTGGATAACATGTCAGTTTGGGGATAGATGCCCTCGGAGGTGTCTGTCAACTCTAAGATTCTGTAATTCTACGATTACTGTTATAACTCCCAGTGCCTAGCCCACAGGGAGACTGACATCTGAATCTCAATAAAGCAAATAAATCCAAGCCTACCAGTCTATACTCAACTCCTCTCCTTGCCCCGCTTTGTGCCTAGCTTTGAGTAGTGCCCTGAGAGATGGAGGAGCAGACCCTGGCTTACCCTCAGGGAACTTCCAGTCTAGGGGATATGGAGAAAGGATCAACCCAAGGTCTGCCTGGGGTGACAGAAGACGCACACTCAGAAACAGAGAACAAATGAGAATTAAAAATGGAGGAGGGGAAAAAACGGTGAGCAAGTTCTTGGACTTGTGATTCAGACAGTCTGCAAACTAGATGGAAGAGGATTCTGAAAACTTCTAGTGGAAGGTGGGGCTTGAGCCTCGTCTGGATTGGACCGGTCACTAAGCCTTCCTCCAGAAGGTTGGTTGGCCTTCTTCTTGACAGGCCAAAGAGGAAAAACCCTTTACGGCTCATCTGGTCCAGCTACCTTATCTTACCCAAGGGGAAATGTCTCCCAGATGAGTGAAAGAACTTTCGCCAAAGTGTCTAAGTTACTGATTAAGATTGAGTGGGCTTAGAAGGACGGGGAAGAGCTGGAGAGCTGACCAGGGAGGGAGCGGGCCTCTCAGGAGGAGAGAACAGCTCCTGAGCCAAGGGTCTGAATAAGTCTAATGTGTTCAAGGCAGTGAGGAGCCCAGTCTGGGGGAGTGGGGCGGTGTCAGGATGCAAGATGACAGGAAGGGTTAAATCTGGGGCGGGGGTTGAGGCTAGACTATCAAGGGTCTTAAATGCTGGACCGAGTTTGGGCAATTGGGAGTCACTGAAGTTTCTTGAATAGGGGAGGGGACTGAATCAGAGTGGGCTTCAGAGGTCAGTACAGAAGGGAGAGACGGGTGGTGGGAAAAGAAGGTAAGATTCTGGCTCTCTTGGGGTGGGGGCTGGCGCCTTTGGGGGTAGTATGGTGTAGGGCTGAGAGTTCTGACCCAGGTTCGAATCCCCCTTCTGCAACTATTTTATTGTGTGACCTTAGTCAAGTCACTTCTCCAGGGACCTCAGTTTCCTAATGTGTCCAATGAGGAATTTAGAAGAGATGCCTTTTAAAGTCTGTTGAAGTTCTCAATTCTCTGGTTATGTGGTTCCCCCTCTCCACCTTTTCTCACCTCCCACACCCCTTGTCACACCTCCCCCCAGTCCATACAGACTCTCAGGTTTTGTCCCCAGCCTCATCTGAGGTAAGCCAGGCCTCTGCCGTCTGGCCAGACCCCCCCCCCGCCCTTTCCCCCTGCAGAGCGGCCCCCATGTGCCCAGGCCCCCAACAGACAGAGCATCGGAAACAGCTGGCCGTCCAGATGTTGTTGGTTTTCTCTCCGAATACTTGCGTGTTCCTCGCCATTCCTGTTGGGTCACCCCTTTCCTTTCACTGTTCCCTACCGCCCACCCCCAGAGGGCTCAGAGCTAGCTCCCTGTCTAGGCTGGTCCCCTGGGCGGGGGCTGAGGGAAGGGGGCTCTCCTCTGGAGCAGGACACAACAAAGCCAGAGCATTCTGAGTCTCCAGGAGAAAAAGAGGGAGAGAAGGAAGAAGGGAAGTATGAGGAGCACAATGGCATTTTTGTGGGCTAAGAAATTTCTTTCTTGTTGGTGAGGCTGTTCTTGCCGTGAAAGAGTGGCCCCTCCTTGGCACGATGCTCAAGGGGATTAGGCCCCCATTAGGGAGACTGAGTCGGCTAGTGGTAAGAGCAGATGTATGGGGGGTGGGGAGTCGGGATCTGGGCTCGAAGCCTGGTCCTGTGTGACCTTGGGAAAATCACTGTACCTCTCTGACCCTTTTTCTTCTCAGCTGGACCAGCCTAATCCTTCTGGCAATACCTGCCTCTGAAGCTTTTTACGAGGCTCAGACGAGATAGTGGATGTCGAGGGCTCTGTAAACCAGACAGCCCAGTAGAAATGTCGGCTCGTGTGCCTGCTCATGGACGAATCCGGAAACTTGACTCTTGAGCTCCCAGGGCTGGAAGGCCCCCCAAGGCCTTCTGGGATGACCTGGGCCCTTCTCCACTGGCCTGACAAGGGCTTGTCCAGACTCCGATGGAGGAGGTCGGAGGCAGGAGGCTCATTCCACTTTGGGACAGCTCGGACACTTGGGAAGTTTTTCCTTACATGGAGCCCCAGTCCGCTTCTTGGCCACTTCCCATGTTCCCTCCATCAGGGCAGACCACAGCCCCTTCGTGACTTCTCCTCTTGTCTGTGTCTATTGTTTTTATTAGTTTTGGACTGGGACCTGTGATTTCATCACTATACGGGAGCTCCTGGTGGGAAAACTCCCTCTATCAATTCAGGTCAGCACCCCTCACAACTTAAAAGTCTTAGAGTTGTCCCTTAGGCCTAGGGAGGTTATTAAGTGACTTGTCCAGGGTCACACAGCCAGCAAATGTCTGAGACAGCACCCGCACCCAGGTTGTCTGGACCTCAAGATTGGCTGGTCTTTCTACTATGCCTCGTTATCTTTTATTAATAATGGAACTTGGCAGTTCTGACTTGTTTCTTGCCTATCTTAGGACTCCCTGCTCCCCATATCCCCACAAACAACTTGATTTCTGCAAGCCTCTCTTTACCTACCTATAAAATGGGAATGCTAAGGTGATCCTGTGTCTCTGGGTAAGGGACTTGGCCCCTGTAGGTTGTAGTTTCTCAATTCATTCATTAACAAGGTGATAACTCCTACCACCCCCAGATACCCTAGGCTTAAGGAAAGGAAAAGATGATGGGTTCCAAAGGTCCAGAGCCAGGACTAGGCCCATAGAAGTGGAGGGAACTTCACAGGCCATCTGGTGTAAGGCTTTTGTTTTCCAGGCAGAAGGACCAGGGCCCTGCAGGGAGGGGGATGCTGAAGAGCCCCGGTGGTGCTCTACAGACATCATTCCTTCTGGGGCTCCTTTGTCCTTATCTGTCAAAGGAAGGGGTTGGATTGGTTGGGGAACCTGTGGCCTCAAGGCCACATGTGGCCCTCTAGGTCCTCAAGTGCAGCCCTTTGACTGAGTCCAAACTTCACAGAACAAATCCCCTAAATAAAAGGATTTGTTCTGTCAAACTCAGTCAAAAGGCCACACCCGAGGACCTAGAAGGTCACATGCAGCCTCTGATCATTCCTCAGATCCTTCTGGCTTGAAATCTTATTACCCTGTCATCCCAGCGAGGAGCCATCCAGAGCAGTGTAGATGGTGTGTGGGAGGCATTCTGGTAGAGTTGGAAGAGTATTTAATTTGGAATCCAAGGACCAAGGCTGCTATGTGTGACTTTGAGCCACTTAAGTTCCTTCCCACAGGCCCTCAGTGAGGTGGACGGGTAGATGAATTGATTTCTCAGATCTCTCCAGTGCCAGGCTTGCCCAGGGTTACGCAGAGAGTCAATGGCAGAGCTGGGACTCAGACCCAGGCAGGGTGTGCTTTAAAAAAAATAAAAAGTAGCCCTGTCCCTTTGAAGTTTAATCTGCGTTAACATTTTCTCCATCACCTTCTTAAATCTAGATAATCAGCAAAATAACAAATCAAGCCTTGATTTGGAGCCTTTGGTGATTTTCCAGGGTGTCAATATTAAGGCTGAAAATGTAACCATTGGCTCTCAATAGCCAGTAGGAGCTGGTTTCAGTACAGCGCAGAGCCTGGGACGCCTAACTCCCAGTCCAAAGTTATCCCCCATTATGTGATACTGTCCCTTAGACAGAACTTCTCTGGAGCCCATAGACTCAGAAAGCAAGATCCCACCCTGGAGGTGGCTGGCTATGAGAAGGGCCTTGAAGGATAGTCACAGCCTGACTGCCTGAGGCTCTCTTAGGGCTCTGAATGAACACAGTTCCGAATGAGAGCCTGGTCTCCTCCAGTGTAAGGCCTGGTTATGCCAAGAGAACATATAATATATTGGAAAGTGTATGGGGTTTGGGGTCAGGGAACCAAGGTTCAAATCCCTGTTTACTGTCCACATGACCTTGGGCCAGTCCCTTGACCTCTCTAGGCCTCATTTTTCTCATCTATAAAAAGGGGAGGTTAGTCTCTGAGGTGCCTCCAGCGATGGTTTTATGATCTTTTGATGCCATAATCTGTTTTCCCCAAGGGCAGAGACCTAATCTCCTCCTCCTCCTCTGTCTCCCCTGGATTAACCCCCTGAGGGCAGGGCCCACACTGGTTTCCCCACTCACTCTCCTTCTCCAGGTTGGCAAAGCCCAGGCCTAGGCACACAGAGGTCTTCAAGACAGATGTATTGAAAGGCATCGAGGAAGAAGTATGGATACAGACTCAGATCAGCTCCGCTCAGCTACTCATTCTACCATTTTGGGCTCCCATGCTTTAAAGGGAAGAAAAACATCCCAGGGCAAGAGCACACATGGCCTCCTCTGAAACTGGTAGCGATGACTCCGTGTGGGAGCGGCCCCTCCCAGACTGTCCCTGGGCTCAGCCTTGGGGTGGGGCAGCTGTGGGATGGGCTGCTACAGCTGGTGTCCCTGACTGCTACTTTCAGCATTCTGCTAGTCTTATCCAGTCTCTCCCCATCCAAACCATGGGAGCTCAGGGACCCTTGGGCCAGAGCAGGTGCCCCCCTGATACAGCCTTTTAAGATACAGGTCCTAGGGTGCATTCCCTGAGGTCAGGGAAAGTCCCCATCCCAGTGTCAGCAGAGTGCTGCCTGGAAGAGGAGGCCTGTTTTCTCTAAGGCCACATCCTTGGAAGCAGGAGGGGAGGCCAGAGTGAGTCCCCCATACTCAGTGGGCCCTCTTCCATTCACCAATGGGGCTTGGGTTGCTAGGGGCGGCCGAGATGGGTAGATGCTGAGCTCTGGGGCCTCGGCTTATCTCAGAACGGGCAGGCTGGCAGGGCTGTTGTTTGTATTTTTTGGGCATCTTTCCATGGGGCTAATGATGCCTGCCGATGCTGGCAAGGGAGGTAATTAGCAGTTTCTGGCTGCCCCTGCCTGCAGCCTGCCTGACTCATGAGCAGGGACTCCCACGGGCTCATTCCCCTCTGTTCGGAGGTTGGAATTAGGGCCTGAGACAGAGGACACCTGCCATGTCTTCTCTCAAATCGATCAGTCAATCAATCAGCGAGTATTCATTAAGTGCCTACTATGTACCAGCCACCATGCTCAGTCCTGGGGATACAAACAGAAAAGAGCCAGCAGTCCCTGCCCTGGGCAGGGGTGGGGGGCTGGGGGGGTGGTGTGGAGTGTGTGTGTGTGTTACATTTCATCAAGGGAAACAACCAGCACATATATACGCAAACACAAAATATGGACAAAGGGAAAATGAAGTAACTGGGGGGAAGCAGCTGGAAAGGGTGGCGATCAGGAAAGGCTTCATGTAGGAGGTGGCACCTAAGCTGAGCTTTCCAAGAAGCTCGGGAGTTTAAGAGGCAGAGGTGAAGAAAGAAGGCATTCCAGTCCTGGGGGACATCCTGTGCAAAGGCATGGAGATGGGAGGCCAGTTACATGCAAGAAACCACCAGAAGGCCAGCTCGGCCAGACCACAGTATACACAGAGGAATGATGGCAAAGTCTGAGCCAAGAGACTTCAATGGCAAATAATGGAGTTTGTATTTGATGCCAGAGGCCATCTAGAGTTTATTGAGGTGGGGGGTGGCATGGTCACACACGCTTTAGGAAAATGACTTTGGCAGCTGGGAAGAGGAGGGATTTGAGCCGAGAGAGAGAGAGAGAGAGAGAGAGAGAGAGAGAGAGAGAGAGAGAGAGAGAGAGAGAGAGAGAGAGAGATTGGAGGCAGGGGAATCTACTAGAAGACTATTGTAGTGATCCAGTTGAGAGGTGATGGGTCTGAACTAGAATTGTGGCTGTGTAAGTGAAGGGAGGGAGGGAAGGAAGGAAGGAAGGAAGGAAGGAAGGAAGGAAGGAAGGAAGGAAGGAGGGAGGGAAGGAAGGAAGGAAGGGAGGAAGAAAGAGAGAGAGGGTAGGAGAGATAGAAGGGAAGAATGAAGGAAGGAGGGAGGGAGGGAAGGAAGGAGAGAGAAAGAGAAAGAGGGTAAGAGAGATAGAAGAAAGAAAGAAGGAAGGAGGGAGGGAGGGAAGGAAGGAAGGAAGGAAGAAAGGAAGGAAGGAAGGAAGGAAGAAGGAAGGAAGGAAGGAAGGAAGGAAGGAAGGAAGGAAGGCAGGCAGAGAGGAAAGGAGCATTCATTAAACATTTACTATCTGCCAAGTGCTTTGCAAATATTATAGGAAAATTAGATGCTATGATTATCCTTATTTAACAGTTAAGGAAAATGAGGCAAGCAGAGGCTAAGTGATTTGCCCAGGGTCACACAGCTAGGAAGTGTCTGAAATGGGATTTGAACACAGGTCTTCCTGATTCCAGGCCCAGAGCTCTATCCACTTCAACACCTAGCTGCCTAAAAGGGGAGGGATGCTAGAAAAATGACAGGCATTAGCAACTAGTTGGATCAAGAGGTCAAGAGGCAAGGATGAATTTGTTTTGGACATGTTGAGTCTGAGCTGTCCATACGATATCCAACTGGAAACATATAGGCAGTTGGTGATGGGGTCCTGGTGCTCAGGAGGGATACTGGGGCTGGATGTAGGGATCTAGGAGTCATCTGGATAGCAATGAAGATTAAACCTATGGCTGCTGATGAGGTCACTAAGAGAGGGAGAAGTGGAAAGAGAAAAGAAGGCCCAAGACAGAGTCACACCTGGTATTTATCCCAGCCCCTACCTACTTCACTTTGTTCAGGGTTGGGCGGAAGGTCTGATTTGTTCAGAAAGTCTACCCAGAAAGGGGATGGTGTGAGCCTGGGCTGAAAGTCGGGGACAGCTGGGTTCTAGTCCAAAGGATCATGGGATTTTCAGGCTGAAAAAGACCATAGAGATTACCTAGTCTCTCACACACACTCCATTGTCATTTTTCACATAGGGAAACTGAGGTTCAGAGAGGGTAAATCACTCCCCAAAGAGGCAAGCTTTACTCCTCTGGGTCTCTGACTCCAAATCCAGCGAGATTTCTGGTACACTTCAATGCCCCAGTGCCCTCTGTAAGACTGTTTTCCTCTCTGTAAAAAGAGGAATCTTTCAGGCTCCATAAGCTACCTCTGCCAAGCCCTCCTCCCTTTTAGCGTCTTCAGCCAGGGGTTTCTTTCTGGTATTTCTCCCAGATCATTTTTTATGTAGCTCAATCCTATATACAGGGTGTCCCAAAAGTCCGAATGTGGGTTTAAGCTAGTAAAACTTAAAACCGCACTCGGACTTTTGGGACATGCTGTACTTTAAATGGGCCCTTGGTAGGGCTGGACAACAGTACATTCCAACGTCTTGGTGACAGCCTTGATAAGCTTCCCCCTTCCCTGGCTCAGTGACCCTCCCCCACTTCTGGAGGCCAGGACTGAGCCCCTTTCGGTGGTCCCCATGGCTTGCACAGTGTCTTGGACCCTAGAAAGGGGCTGAAGGGCCTGAGGGAAATGAGTATTGAAAACCAAAGGGGCCCCTTGTCCTAGACCCCGGTCCAGCTGGGCCCCAAGAACTGATAGTGCCTCTGATTCCAAGGAGCCAGTCTGGAGCCAGGAAAACCTTAGAGAAGGCCCAGTGTGGGGGCTGTCCCATAAATCCCTCCAACTTCTCCCTTTTCCCTTCCTGTTCACCTCCGACTGAAACCCACCTCAGCCAAGAATCCTTCCCAGATTCGTGCCTGCATGCACGTGCCCACAGATCCACGGGGGAGTCCGCGTACATTTGTTACCTAACCGTACTTCTGTGCATGTTGACATATGGGGTTGCATATACCTGTGCATTAGCGATGATAACAGTATGGATGGGGCAGCTAGGTGGCCCAGCCTGGAGTCAAGAAGACCTGAGTGCATATATGGCCTCAGACACTTACTAGCTGTATGACCCTAGGCAAGTCATTTAACCTCTGTCTGCCTCAGTTTCCTTAACTGTAAAATGGGGATAATAACAGCACCTATAGCCTAGGGTTGTTGTGAGGGTCTAATGAGATAATATTTGTAAAGTGCTCAGCAAGTGCCTGGCACATAGTAGGGCCTTGTTGTTGTTGTTCAGTCATTTCAGTCCTGTCTGACTCTTCATGACCCCATTTGGGGTTTTCTTGGCCAAGATAGCGGAGTGGTTTGACGTTTTCTTCTATAGCTCATTTTACAGATGAGGAAACCGAGGCAAACAGAAGTGACTTGCCCAGGGTCACACAGCTAGTGAATTTCTGAGGCCAGATTTGAACTCAGGTCCTTCTAACTGCAGGCCCAGCGCTCTGTCCACTGCAGCCACCTAAAATGCTTCTTCCCTTCTACCCAATTAAATAGTATTTGACACTTTCCTTAAGTGCTTTATATTCACTGTTCCATTTGAGCCTCACCATGGCCTGAGAGAAAGGTAATAATAATGAATACTGACATTTATAGAGCCTGTTAACATTTTGTAAAGTGTTTTGTGCACGTCACCTCAGTTGGAGCTTTGCAACAATCCCATGAGGGAAGATCCTACAGGTGTCATCACACCCATTTTGCAGATAGTAAAACTGAGTCTTTGATAGCAAAGTGACTTGCTCAGGGTCACACAGCAAGGAAGGCCTTCCTGACTCCACATCCAGCCCTCTGTCCACTGCCCTGTTTCTCCCTACATTACAGATAAGGAAATCGAGTCTAGGAGAAATCATCCATATCCTAGATCCCCAGATAATAAGTAGCAGAGCTGGAATCCAGGTCCTAGGGAGTAGCTCCTAACACTAGGCTCACTCCATTTCTTATACTACACTTTCTTCTTGCGTATCCATGGGGCATGTGCATGCACTGCTGTGTGCATGTGTCTACGTACCCATGTGCAAGTCTGGAAGGACGGGTACCATGTTCAGACCCATCTGTAGGTATGTACATATATGTGTATATATATGTGGCCACCTGCCCAGGAGCAGGCTGATGTCAAAGGTACCAGACAGAGCATGATTTAGAGCTGAAAGGCCTGTAAGACCCCCTCATTTGGAAGCCCAGGGAAGGGAAGGTACTTTCTCGGGTAAGAAACACAGCCAAGATTCAGACTTGGGACTGCGCTTTCCAGTATCACATGTTGCTATCCTTAGGGGGATGTGAGGGGATAAAGATGGGAGACTCCCACACCCCCTAATGCTGGAGCCCTAACAGGTTGGGATAGTGGAGAGGGCTCTGGGCAGGGAGTCAGGAGACCCAGGACCACGCCTCAGTTTCACTCTCTGTCAAAATTGGATAGATGGTCTCTAAGCGCCCTGTTGGCTCTGATTTTCTAGGATTCTGGAGGATGCGTTTGGAACTCCACAAAATATCCTTGTCCTGGATTGGTGATGATGTCCACCTCCACCCCTACTGCCCCTTCCCTGGTCAGAGATGTTTGCTTTTAGGAGAGGGCAGGGAGAAGCAGAAATCCCAGGCCCACGGGAGCAGCCCAAGTCCTCTGAGCTGGACAGCCGCTGGCAGGTTCATGGGATTTAGAGTTGGAAGGGCCCTTAAAGACTGCTTAGATGTTGCAGAGGGGGAGAAACTGAGGTTTGGTGAGAGGGAGGGGCTCACCCACAGCCACACAGATAGTCTCTGACTCCCAGCCGAGTGCCCTTTCCTCTGTCCCACACTAGCTTCTTGGGATGGGGAAGAGGGAGGCAGCCCTCACCCCAAATTCCTGCTTTATAGCCCGAGCCCAGCCTTCCTAACGACTCTCACAATGGGCGGGAGGGCAAGCAGGGAGGCTGTGCCAGGGAGAAACCTGTTGGGTGACCCCCCGAGGAGAAAGGCCCCATTGTTACAAGAACCTTATCAGGTCCTGGTGCTGCCTACCCCCTCCCAACAATTCCTTCCTCTTACCCCCAGACCTGAGATTGAAGGCTGGCCCATGGTGGGGGGCAGGCATTCCAGGCCGAGGCCTACCCCTACCCCAGTGGGTGCAGGGGGTCTCAGGTACCCAAGTTCTCAGCTTCTCTGGCCCCTCGCTGGGGCCTCTTGGTGTAGTGGGGGAAGGGAACAAGGCTCAGGGCAGGTTATCCTCTTGATCCCTGTTCCATTTCTCCTGCCATTCTCCCCCTCTATGACCATCCATTATACAGACAGAGAAGCAGAGGCCCACAGGAGGGTTGGAAGGCTGGAGGTCAGGGAGTCAGGTACAGATGGGAATCAGCTGTCTTGTCCGCAGACACTAGGTTGGGTCTTCCTCTTCTTCACTATTATCTATATCCACTGTATGGCTGGAGAAACTGAGGACCAAAATGAAACCAGGTGGCTGGAGGATGTGGGTATTTCCAGTGAAGCCTACCCCAGAGGCAGGGACAGTGGTGACCATTTTCTCCTCTGTCTAAACTATCCTGCGGCATTCCGTCAATTCTGGATTATCCAGATGGATGGAAGGAGAGGGGGGACCAGTTATCATCATGCCTCAGCTAATCCAGAGGTGACCAGTGAGTGATTCATTCCCGTGTCCTTGGGCTGATGATGTGAGAACAAAGGTGTGTCCCACCTTCTGGAAACCAGCTCTCGCCAAAGATAACACCATAGTTCCAAGCCAAGAGCTCCAACAGAAGGAGCTGGGCCAATGTCCAGTTTCCCCATTCTGGCTCACCCTCTGTCTAAGCACCCTCCCCGACTCCCAGCCAGTCCCTAATTCCTCTCTGTTCCCCATCCTGTGGGAACAATCAGTTTCCTTTCAGACACAAGGCAAAGTACCAGCCAAGGTAGAGATCCCTTTCCCAAAAGCAAGAGTGACTGGCTGACATAGAACTTCCTTGCTGAGGAGAATCCAGCTGTTAATAGAGCATGTAATGAAGAGATGAGCAGGCTCGGCTGTGACCTGAAGAATCATCTGAGTCTCAGCTCCTTCTGCTTAGGGCAGACTCCAACTGTCAGGTGGGCTTTTCCTCAATCGACCCTAACTTTGCCTTCTGCACTTCTAGCTTCAATCCCAGGTCTTCAGCTACTTGACTACAGCCTTCTCATCCCTTTTCCATGTGAAAGAAAAATCCCCATTTCCTGTACCATTACCTCTCTGACCCTGGGCCCTGGGCCTTTCTTTGGCCTTATTGGCTGCGAGATCTAACTATAAACACACACACACACACACACACACACACACACACACACACACACACACACACACACGCTCCATCCACTGTTTCACCTAGCTGCCCATAAATACACATACAGACACAGCTAAACAATACACATTTATACACACACACATATCTATACATTGACCTTGCAGGTCCACTAAAACCAAGATCTTTCTTGAACGGACTGCTGTCCGTTGCTCTTCCGAAGCTGATCTTTTGAGCTCAAGTGGAATATTTTACATTTATAACAATTAAGTTTCATTTTGCTAGACTGGGTTTCGAGTCCTAGCCAGTCCTGACCTTTCTGAATCTTGACTCTGTCCTCCGGTGTTTTAAGACAGACTGCAGAACAACTGAGTTCAAATCTCAGTTCCACTTCTTCCTAGCCATAGAAATGGAAGCTTATCTGAGACTCAGTTTTCTCATCTGTAAAACGTTGTAGGCACCCAGTGGCAGCTGGGCCTGGAGTCAGGAAGACCTGATTTCAAATGCACCCTCAGATGCTTACTAGCTGTGTGATCCTGGGCCAGCGGCTTAACCTCAGCCTGCCTCAGTTTCCACAACTGTAAAATGTGGATAATAATAGCACCAACCTCTCAGTTGTTGTGAGGATCAAACAAGATAATATTTGTAAAGTGCTTAGCACTGTGCCTGGTGCATAGGAAGTGCTATATAAATATCAGCTATTACTGTCATTATGAAGAGTGATGATTTATAAGGTTGCTTCCATCACTGAATCTTATATTCAGCTCTCAAGAAGCAAGATATTGTGGGTGCATCCTGTCCTCCATCACTCAAGTCACGAGCCATTAGAGTTGAAAGGAACCTTTAATGATCACTGAGTACGATCCCTTTATTTTACATATAGGGAAACTGAGGCCAAAGAGGGGTTAGGTCCCATAGGCAATAAGCATTCTTCAGACTCCGATCTGACTCTGAATCCAGTGTTCTTTCTGCTAGACGATGCTGCCCCTCCGTCCAACCCTCATTAAAAAAAAATTATTGTCTCTCACTTTTACCTCACCTTCATTTCCAAATATATACACCACTGTGGCCACCACCTATAACAAAGAAGAAAAAAAGATAGGATAAAAGCAGGTCAGCCAAATTAATCAATGTGTCAACAGCATCTCTGACTTGATGCAATGGTCTGTATCCTTAGTTCCCCACCTATGTAAAAACAAAATGAAAACCAAATAAATCCACCAACCCCTTTATTTTATAGATGGGAAAACTAAAATCCAGAGAGTCAGAGCAAGACGCGCTGGATTTCAAGTCAGGTACAGACCCCGACTTTGCAACTTGCTTCTTGTATCTGTTTGCTCATCTTTACAATGAGGGGTTTGGGCTCCATGACCTCTGAGGTCCTTTTCCAGCTCCATGATTCTAGGTAAAGGACTCACCCAGGACTCCCCGGAGCGTCAAGGGCCCATCTGGGATCCGAGCCCACATCTCCTGGCCCTCTGCTCCCTCGCCAGCCTGTTATCCCACTGCACCTCAGCGGGTTGTAAAACCAGGGTTTTAATCTCAGGGAGAGGCTGGCTGAGTGTGGGGAGTTGGGGAAGGAGGAAAGGGGCAGTGCTGGCCACTCTTCAAATCCCAGACTGGGGCTTTAAACTTGACACAGAGCTAGAAAGACTTCAGAATTCCCTTCTCTTCCTTGCACTGGTGCAGGAGAACATCCCCTCCAGAAGTGCTTAACTTTGTTTGCAGGGCAGTCAGTGTGATGTCTGGACCCCCTTTTCAGAACAGTGTTTCTGAATGCATAAAATAAAATCCATAGGATTAACAAGGAAACCAATTGAAATGCAGTTATCACAGTATTTAAAAAAAACACAACAATTCCTGGACCCAGGTTAGGAAAACCTGTCACAGCATCTCAAAGAGGTGGTCGTCCACCCTAAGCCTGAAGACCTCCAAGGACAGGGAGTTGAGGCCTCTCATTCTTCTGTTGGGCAGCTCTGGTAGGTAAGAAGCCCTTCCTTGCCCTGAGTTCAAATCTGCCTCCCGCAGGCCTCTTTATCAGGGACCGGTCACTAGCATGGTGCAGTGGCTTGGAGTTGAAAGAGCTGGATTTCAGTCCCAGCTGTGTGGCCTTGGGCAAGTTCTTCCACCTCAGTTTTTCCATCTGTAATATGGGAAGGAAACTAGATGATTTCTCTAAGGACCTTTTCAGGTCTGACATTCTATGTTCCATGTTCTCAGGTTGCTTCCTCCTTCTCTGATATTCTGTTCCCTTCCAGCTCTGGCATTACTCTGTTGTAGGATTCCTCCAGGTCTGATATTTTTGGTCCTAGGAGATGCCGTCCATTAGCCTTGGTCCTGCCTGATGGGGCCACACAGGACAAATTTTCCCCTTCAGCTGTACTTACTCCCCAGATCCCGCTTCTCTCCTGGTCTTAGGGAGGAACACAAAACCTTCTTTCCTTGATCCCTCCCTCCCTTTATCCCTTCCAGCTGGGAAGGTTTTCTAAGAAGAAAACTACTTGAGATTTCATAACAATGCCCAAAGCTTGGGAATGGAAAGTGGAAATGGAAAAACAAACAAAACACAACACTGGACTTAGAGACCTCGGTTCAAATTCAGGCTTGCAAACTTAGGAGCCAATTTGACCTTGACTTGGCTAGTCTGAGCCTTAGTTTCCCCAAGTATCATAGTGCTTTTGTCATTGTGACGAGCTATCCCGAGGAAACTCCTGTATAAATCTTAGGCTATAGAAATGAGGCTACCTTTGTTTGCCTAACCCTGGGAGACCTGGTTTCCCTAAGGTTCCCCTTCCCAGACCTCCCTAGGTGCTATCTGAGGTGAAGCATTGGGAAAGTGCTTTTAGGCTGCAGAGGCCAGGCAAAGGCTTTCTCCATCCTCCCACTCGCTCTGCAACCTCTCCACACAACTCAGCTGGTGCCCTTCACCTCCAGGTCCTGGCTCTGTGGACATGATGAGAAGGAAGGAGAAAAAATATAGCAGGGAAAAATGGTTTCTTAACCCAACCTTTCAAATGCTGGAAGACAAGCAGTGTTCCAGAAGACAGGAGGACAGACCCTAATTCTTACTTTTTCAATCAAGCTTTTACTAAACACCTGCTCTGTGTCAGACACAGTCCTAAGCTCTGGGACTATAAAGACAAGAATGAAACAATCCCCGCCCTAAAGAGGCTTATGTTCTATTAGGGAGATGACAGGTACTATTACCTAGCAAAGTACATACATAATCCACAGAAGCTAATGATGACTAGCTAATTAATAGCACTTTAAGGTTTACAGAGAGCTTTACAAATATTGAGATGCCTTTAATATCTTCTCCGGGATCTCCAGCCCCTCCACCTTCCTCCAATTTGTCATGTCCTACCTAAAATATGGCTCCCAGCACTGAGGGCCATCATCTCCTTATTCCTGGATGCTGTGATTCTCAATGCAGCCCCAGATCTCATTAGCTTTGAGGGCTGTTGCTTTGAGCTTGTGGCTTTTTAAGTTGTCTTTATAGAGCTTGCGGTCACCTCAGACTCTTGACTCAACTCAGATTCCTACCATGGTGCGGTGGTAATGAGGCAGGTATGATTTTCCTTAGCAAAGATCTGACCATGCTACTCCCCTACCCGATAAACTCCAGTGGCTGACTATTGCCTCTAGGATCAAATATAAACTCCCCTGTTTAGCTCTGAAAGCCCTTCAAATCCTGTACTCGATCTATCTTTCCAGCCTCATTGGATATAAGTGTCCCATCCTGCACTGTATGATGCAGCCAAAGTGTCTGAGATCTCTCTGTGCCTCATGCCAACACTTAGTTTCCCATCTCTGTGCCTTAGCATTGGCCATCTCCCCAAAGCCTGGAAGTACTCCCCTCTCCCCCCTGCCTTCACAAATCCCTCTTTTCCCTCAAATACTTCCTTCTATATGAAGCTTTTTCTGGTCCCCTCAACGGCTGGTGACCTCCTTTTTGAACTACCTTGTCATTAGCTACCTTTAATTTATTTGTATTTATTCTCTTTATAACATATATATATAATATATATGCATATATAATATACTTTTGTATATATAATATACATACATACACACATATATATATATATAAATATACATATATTTCTATATATGCAATATACATATATAAACTAGGGAAACAAGTATATACATATAATACATACATATATATGTGTGTATATATATATAAATACACATAATACATAGGAAGACACATCTCCCAGTTGGATTAAGCTCCTTGAAAACAGGGATTGTTTCATTCTTTGTATTTGTAACTCCAAGGGAATAAGCATTTTAATGGTGCCTGTTATGTGCCAGGTACTGTGCTAAGTGCATCTACAAACATTATCTCACAATAATCCAGTGAGGTAGGTACTATTATTATCCCCATTTTACAGCTGGGGAAACTGAGGCAAAGAGAAGTTAAGTGACTTGCCCAGGGTCACACAGCCAGCAAGTGTCTGAGACTGTATTTAAACTCAGATCCTCCCGAGTCCAGGTCCAGAGCTCTGCCTGCTGCGCCACGTGTCTCCTGGCACTAGTAGTGCTTAATAAATGTTTGTCGATTGAGTGAGTGACATGGGGAAGAAATGAGGTTGTAGTAAAAAAAGGAGCATTATACCTGATGTGGGGAGAGGAATAAGATGGCATGGAATGTGGAGAGGGGAAGACAAGATCATAGGATAAATTTCCTCCAGCCTTGGAGTTCAACATTGACCCAAACCCTGTCATCAGTGGTGGGGCAACCTGGAAGGTGTATTGTTTCTGATAGCATTCTATCGTGTTCATATACCACACTTTAGCTTTCCCCAGTCAATGGGCATCTGCTTTGTTCCTACTTCTTGGCTACCACACAAAGGGCTGCTATAAATATTTCATCGTGTATGGAAGCTATTTTTTTTTTTGTCAATGACCTCCTTAGGGTATATGCTTAGCAGTGGATTCTCAGAGTCGGAAGGTATGGATCTTTTAGTGACTTTATTTGCATAATTTCAAATTGCTTTCCATGATTGGCTATACCAATTCACAGAGGAATTGGCATTCTAATAAGATGAGACAACACATATGGGTGAGTGGTGACCAGGGAAGGGAGTTTTGATCTGGAGAGTTCCAGGGATGGTGCGTTGATCCATCGGACAGTACTGAAATGTCCTGTCCAGAAGCAATGGTGGTGTTGAGCTGACTACTACTCCTACAGTGTGGGAGAGGGGAGGACTGGGAGGATCAGCTGCACATGTGGCATCAGAGCAGATGGCCAAGATGGCCTAGGTGGACTCCTTTAGGGGATGGGAAGCGTGGTTTGGGTTGGGGCTAGCAGAAAAATGAGTCAGGTAAACGTACACTCACTCACTAGTCAAGACAGCTCAACTCCAACGGGGAGTTCCAAAGCTGAATGGATGGAGAGAGGTGGAGTGGGAAAGGAGTAGGGCCATCCCCCACCTCCCCCAGCTCCCCAGTGGTTCCTACCTCTAACTAAAGAGAACCTGGGTTCTTCCAGTAACAGCCCTCCCCCGACCCTTCAAGCTTCTGCCACTTAATGCTTATGTGTCTCTGCGTATCCGTGTTGATGGAGATGGTGGGGTGGATGACAGAGCAGAGAGAGGTAGACATGATCTTTTCCCCTTGCATTGGTGACCCTGGAGGACCAGATAAGCCTGAGCCCAGAAGAAGAGATGGGTGTCCTTACCTATTGCTCCAGAAAGAAAGATGCCAACCTGATCTGGCCCCTTTGAACTTGGGGACTGGAAAGAACCTTCCCCTTAGAGTCCTAAGATCTGGATTCCAATTCTGGTCCTGCCACTGACTAGTTGTGTGACACTGGGCAAGTTCTTCCCCCTTTCTGGATCTCAGTTTCCTCATCTGTAAAATGAAAGGGTTGGATTAGGTCAGGCCTGCTCAACCTGGGGCCCGCCAAAGGATTTTGGGCAGCCCCACAAAAAATGTAGAGGAAAACATCCTCTATATTTTTCAAGGGCCTCCCAAAATCCTTTGGCATGCCCACAGGCCATAAGCAGCCCTCTGACCACAGGTTGTAGAGGACTGGACTAGATGGTCTCCAAGTTCCCCTCCAGCACCAGAAGCAGTTAGGTGGAACAGTAGATAGAGCACTGGGCCTGAAGTCAGGAAGATCCGATTTCAAATCCTGCCTCTGACATTTACTAGCTATGTGACCCTGGGCAAGTCACTCAACTCTGCCTGCCTCAGTTTCTTCAACTGTAAAATGGGGATAATAAGAGCATCTACCTCACAGGGTTGTTGTTGTGAGGATCAAATGAAATAATATTGGTAAAGCGCTTAACATAGTGCCTAGCATACTGTAGGTGCTATCTAAATGTTTTTTCCCTTCTTCCCTCCCTCCAATCTCCATCCCTCCTCTCTCCCCTTCGAATACTGGTTTGGGTGTTGTCTGGGCCTCTGTTTCCTCCTCCGGACAATGAAGGGGTCTGGACTAGTGCAGGGCTTCTTAACTGTTCTGTGTGTATGTCATAGACCCCTTTTAGCAGTCTAGGGAAGCCTATGGTATGTATTCCTTACCAGAAGAATGGTTTATTGCCTACATTCATAAAAGGAAATGCTAAATATCAGTTAGAAGGTAGTAAAAAAAAAATAAAGATGTAGTTTTTTCCCCCTCCTATCCAAGTTTCCAGTCTCCCTGAAATCTATCCATAGACCCCTTGGGCGTCCACGGACCTCAGGCTACAACCCCTGGACTTCCGTGCTCCCTAACGTTCTCTTCACCTTGAAGATTCTCTGTCCGATCCTAGGGTCCAACATCTGTTTTTCCAGACACGGCCCGAAAAGAGGGATCTCAGTGCACACTGCCAGCATCTACCCTGCCTCTCCCCATCACCGCTAAGCCCACATGCTGACCCCATTCTGGCCACCACACTGTCTGCCCACCCACCCGCTAGCCCAGGCCGCTAGACACCCCAGCCTGGCTCTCCTGATGCTCCATTCTAGGGCCTGGACCTGGCAGGCCCTGACTTCCTGTTCTGGAGAAAGTATTCAGAGCTGAGGCCCAGTGTAAATGTTTACCCGGCAGCCTGGGAATGTAAACGGAGCCTCAGCCATCCCATGAAGCCTTCCGCCCCTAGCCCCGCCTTGGCCCCTGGCTTTCCTCTACCCCCACCCCAACTTCATTGCCCCCAACTTCGACCCTCATTGTGCATTCCTCAGCCCTCTCCCCCTAAAAGGTGGTCCAAAGAATCCTAGGACTTGGAGATGGAAAGGACCTTAATGTCTAATCCAATCGCTGCATCTTACCTGTGAGGGAAACTGAGGCTGCCCCCAACCCTGCTTCCCATAAAAATAGCAGCTTCCAATTTTCTTGGACTTTCAAGTTTATAAAATGCTTTCCTGGGAAGCAGGTAGTTGGAGGATCATACCCATTTCACAAAGGTGAGGGGAACTGAGGCTCAGAGAAGCCTGACTTTCCCAGAGCCCCATAGCCAGTAAGTGGCAGAGCCAGAGTCTAAACCCAGGTCTCTCCTGACCCCGACTCTCCCTCAGCTCCCTTGCCTTGAGGGTACTTATGTGGACCTGGCCGGGAGCTCTGTGACTCAGCGGTATCCTCTCTGCACCGAGGCTGGAGAGAAGCGGGAGGCTGAAATCAGGGCCCAGCTGTCAAATGAGCATGGTAGCATGGGATTTATAGCTGGAGGAGACTTTAGGTATCATCCAGCCCCTCCTTCTTCCACCCCTCTTTTTAGAGTCAACCATCCCAAGTGCCTGCCAATACCCACTGCTCCTGCAGCCTTCAGAAGGGCTTTGTTCTATAATCTCCCCTAAGTGGCTTCAGAAGGGCCTTTTAACATGGGAGGGAGCCTCTCAAATCCAAGTCCTCTAGGAAGGATTAGGATCCCAGGACTCAGAGCTGCAAGGAATCCATCTCAGCAGCCACCTCGTCCCAAGCCCTCATTCTACAGATGGGGGAAATTGAGGCCCAGAAAGCTTAGTCCACTTGCTTGTGGTCACATAAGGCAGGACTCCCCCCACCCACCACCCCACAAGGGCTCTTTCTGCCCACGAGTTCTTTCCTCCTAAACCCAGCCTTTTGTGTCTCTCCCTGCCACAAGAAGAGAGGCTACCCCCTCCCCAAGCCAGGGCTCAGCTCTTTCTCCATCCTGATACTGGTGCCAAGAGTCTTCCCAGCCTGCCCCTTGTCCCCCACCCCAGACTGCAGGCATTTTTCCACAGAACCTTGGTGAGCAAGTCCGAACAGGGCTGTCTGTCAGGGCAATTCCTGATCCCAGATCTGGCAAGGACCCGGGCCCAGGGCCAGGGGGGCCCCATCCCAGCACGAGGGATACCATCCATCTCTCCCTCTCCTGTCTCTACAAGGAAAAATGTCGGTCTTCTGGGACCCTGGATGCCACCTCTGGCTCTAGTCTCTCAGGTCTGCTTTGTGACCTTGGGTAACTCCTTTTCTCTTTCTGGGACTCAGTTTCCCCAATGAAGGGGCTGGATTAGATGATGTCTAAGCTTCCTTCTAATGCTAACATTCTGTGATTTCCTAGGACACCTTCCACTGCAGATTTTTCTCCTGTTTCAGTAATTTCCTGAAGCCCACAGCATTACATCTAGACCCCTTGACCTTGAACTCAAAGCCCCCCTCCTATCTTCAGTTCAGTACAGTAGGGTGGGAAAGAACCTTAGGCTTCCAACCTTTCCCAGCCCTTTATTTTACAGATGAGGAAAATGGGGTCCAGGGAGGGAGAAGGGCCTTGAAAGTCAATGGCAGGGCCAAGACAGACCCCAGGTCATGCCAGGCACATCTCAGCCTGTGCCAGCTTTTGCTCAGGTTGCCCCCCCCCCCGGAACATTCTCCCCTTCCTTTTCCCTTCTGCAGATCTTCCTCATCCTTCAAGGCCTGGCTTATGTCCCCCTCCTCTCCCCCTCCCCCAAGCCTTCCCTGATCATTAGGGCCCCTGGAGAGATCTCCCTCAGAGCTCTCCTGCACTTAGAGCCTGACTCTCAGACTCAGACCTCCAAGGGCCTCTTGGGCACTGAGGATCTTCCCTGGGCTAAGTGCTGCCGCCCACGTGTCTTGCAGGAGGCCAATGTCCCGTGGCGACTGACAATGAAGCTATGGAAGGTGGCGGCCCTGGTCTCTGTGCTCTGCAGCTCCATGCTCTCCATCTGGGTGTTCAGAGACCTGGCCGGCAGTGACCGAAGACTCGGACCTGGTGCTCGAGCCACGCTGCGTAGGCCTCCTCGGGCCTTGGACCCCCGCTGGCCCCTCATCTCACAGTGTAAGGCTCTCCCTCCCCGGCTCTCTGGACCTGGTTTGCTTTCCCTCTTGCTCTTTATCTGTCTTCCCCTTCTCCCATCTTTTTATCTCCCTCTCTCTCCATCTCTCTCTTTTTAATCTCTCCCTCTGTCTCTCTCTCTCTCCGTTTCTCCTGTTTTGTCCCATAATCTCCCATCTCTTCTCATTTGTCCCTTTCCTGCCCTCTGCCCCCCAACCACCAAAATTGAAGTCAACAGACCTTTATTAATTTCCTGCTTCCTGCCAAGCCCCAAGCTAGGTGCCTTGTGAGGATGATTCCTAGGTGGAGAGTGGGCCACCATCTGCAGGGGCCTCATCTTCCTTCTACCCAGCAGGCACTGAGGTTGACTTCACATGTGTCTAGGAGCTCCACTGTGCCCTAGGGCCTCCCACCCAGCCTGCACCCTTGGTGGTGTTCCATGGTCCTCCCCTACCATGACCCTACCTCTTGGTTTTCATGCCACACCTTCTCACCTTCCTACAAAGACCTTCTGCATGCCCTACTTTGGAGACAGAGGACTTGAGTGCGGATTGTAGCTCCCTGTAAAATGAGGGGATTTGATTATATATATGATGTGGAAGGTCCCTTTCAAATCCCAGTCTTGTGGTTCTGATGGCCTTCCTGCCATTGCCCTGGGACTGACAGAGGTTTGCTGTGGGGCTGGGAGGTGGGACAGGGTATTTACATTAGGCTGAGTGGACAGCATCATATTGTAGCTAGGTATAGGGCCAGTCCAACCCTTGCCCATCCCCTCACTGCCACAGTGCCTTACAAATCCAGGCTCTATAGAAGTCACCCCCAGACCATACCAGCTGCTAAGTGAAGGCTAAAAAGTAAGCTGAAATCCAGGATTTACCCCCACCCCACCCCCTCCACCAGCCCTGGGAGCTAGCCAGTCCCCAAGGCCTTTCCCCCTACCTCCCAGCACCACCACCCTAAGACCTGACCCAATGTCAATAAACTCGCCACCCCCTCCCCTTGGAGCCCCTGCCCCACCCCACCCATTCCCCGGCGCCAAGCTTTGCTCCCCACAGTCTGTGGCCCCATGCCCGGTCCCTGAGCCCAAACTGGAGAATAAAAGCATGACATACACTTATACACGCACACAGATCTCCTCCCAGACGTAGGCAGAGACATACTCAGAAAGAACACGAAGGGTCCTAGGACCACAGATTTCAAGCTGAAAGGCCCAGACTAACAGAGTGACATGGAAGAGACAGAGAGATATATGGAGACAGAAGTACACACAGAGATGTGCCTGAGATCAACTCAGAGACATGCATGCTGAGCTCGGGACTCCCAGATGCGCTCACAGTCACAAGCTACAGACACAAGTTTGTAGACATAGACATACGCACAAATAATAATCAAGAAGCATTTATTAAACACCTGCTGCATGCCAGAAATTATGCTAAGTCTGGGATATGAAGACTAAAGTGAAATAGTCTGTATATTCAAAGAACTTCCATTCTAATGGGGGAGGTAATAGGTACAGGGTGTGTGTGTGTATGTGTGTGTGTGTGTGTGTGTGTGTGTGTGTGTGTGTGTGTGTGTGTGTGTGTGTGTAAGACACACCGAAGGCAGGCTGACAGAAGGTAACCTTGCGAGGGTGGGGCGCTGGTAACTGGAGGCCCAAGCAAGACCTCCTGCCCCAGCTAGGGCTTGACCTGGGTCTTAAAGGAAACCAGGGATTTCACTTACTTGCCCAGGCCAGGCAGCCATTCTCATGACCTCTCCTCAGGGGATGATCACTAAGCTGTGTTCCTAGCCATGGGGAATCAGGAAGCTATCCACCCTTTCTAGCTTTGGAGATGATGAGACCTAGAGCTGGGGCCGCAGGGACGCCGTGTCAGACAGTCCAGGGAAGCTCCTGGACCCCTACAGAAAATAAAATGCAGAGGGTTAGAAAGGAAACCAATAATGTGAACTATAGTTATCAACATACTTTAAAACACAAGGCGCTGGGATCCAGGTGAAGAGCCCCTGATCTAGGCCAACCCCCGACTCTACAGATGAAGGAAACTGAGGTCCAAAGTGACACTTTGGAGGCCGTGCAGGGAAGATTCGATCTAGAGCCTTTGACTGACTCTCTGTCCAAGGTTCTTCCCACCTCACGAGGATGCTGCTGAACTGTAGCCATTCTGTGCCCAGGCCCTCAAGGAGGCAAAGTGCCTGGGTCCATGGCAGGGTCTAAGAACCAGGCATCCCACGCTCAAGGCGCCAGCCCTGCTGTGGGACCAGTTCCACTAGCAGCTGACTTTGGTTTCAGGAGCTGTGAGCAATTATGCAAATGAGAAAGACGGGTAATTTTCACACGGTGGATATATGAGGGCACATTCATGCTCATGTATGTTTGTACACTTGTACAACTGAGAACGTGTACATTGGGGATCAAGCGTTTGCATGAGTGCATGCATGTGTGTGTGTGTATGGCATCTGTACAAACTGGTATGCCAGTGTGTGCTTAGATAGGTTTGGACTGGTGAGTACACATGCCTGCACATCACATACCCGTGTGCAGTCAGGCACGCATGCATGGTTCATTGAACATACAAATGCACACTCATGTGGAGTGTACAAGTGTCAGGGCCCATGTGTACGCCTGCGTCCCTCTGTCCCCAAGCACTTGCACACTTATGCTGTCAGCATGCATGAGTGTCCGCGCTCCCAAAGACCGTGTCTGTCTACACCATGCCAGTGCGCCTGTGTACGTGGGCATGGTAGCCTGTGCCCGTGCCCATCTACTTTACCCTCTGATGCCCTAAGCTGCCCTTTCACATAAAACAATCGAGCTTTATTGCATTTACAATTGACAAACAGGAGAGAGCCGCAGAGGCAACCTCACTTCCTTCCCTGCCGCAGGCAGGAGCTTGGAAAAGCCTTCATGGGGCTGTGGCTCACACAGGGAATAACTTTTACACCCTAGGCAGGGGGCCAAGGGCTGGAGGGGCCCCAGGCAGCGCCTTTGGAGAGCTGCCCCAGAGACAAGGCAGGGCCCTGGGTGCCCTGTGGCAGCATCCTCCTGCCTCTGACTCCTTTCCAGGACAGAGGCCGACCTGGTCCATCCACCAAGGCATGCTGCTCCCCCTTCCCCCATGTGCCCAGTCTTGTACAGATTAGGCTGTGGGAAAGATATGGGCCGTGCTCTTTTGGAGCTCCCAGGCTCAGGGTAGACATGACAGCTTAGAACTCAGACACAGAAAGCCAGAGCTAAAAGAGACCTTAGAACACAGAACGTAAGTATGTTGGTGCTGAAAGGGTCCTTAGAATGGGCATCCCAGAATGTCAGAGCTAGAAGGGCCCTTAAAACATAGAATGAACTAGAAAGAAACTGAGGCTTTATCATGTCCAACCCTTTCCTTTTACAGCTAGAGAAACTGAGGCCAAGAGGTGGGAAGTGACTTGCCCAAGTTCACACAATGCATCAAGGGCAGGCCTAGGATTAGAACCCCAGGGCTCTGCTCATTGCACTACACCACCTCTGTGAAATAACGAAAGAGATCTGGGTGTACTAACCGGAATATCCTCAGAGCTGTCACCCTCTCAGACACCATTTGGGGCATGGGTGGCCCTCGGCATCCCATGCTTCTGACCAGCCTTGCTTTCATTGCAGGCTTCTCCTCAGGGCTAGGCAGCTGTCCCATCTGTCCCTCTTAGCTTCCCCACCCCCACCCTCTGGGGATTCGGCAGGCACATCTGGAAATCATGAGCACAGCAGGGGTTGCATGTCTTTCCCGCTCCCACCCCCCACCATGATGGTGGCTGCCAGCCTTGGCTGTAAGCGACATCCTCTGGCCAAGCTGAGCCACCTGTTTACCCAGACAGAGGGAGTGGGCAGGAGGAGAGCCAGCCCACAGCAAGGTGGACGGGGCAAGGCGCCAACAGAGCTGAGAGCCCACAGCATACGGGCTGTTTGAAAAAAATCAGAATGTGGAGGACACAGTGAGTTCCAGGGTAGAGACCTCAGAATATGGAGGACAGGGAAGCCAACGTGGAGTCCCACGGAAGAGGGTAGTACCTTCAGGGATCATGGAGCTTGGAGAACGGAGCCCAGACTTCTACCTGCCTTTAATGGGCTCAGACCCTGGGGTGGAGCCCCGACAGACCCGAGGCAGGGCTGCTGGGAAACAAACTGGACGCCACCAGCTGAGCCCGCCACCCTGGGCCAGGTCCTCACTAGCAGGTGCCCCCAAGCACAAACCACGCATGTGCCTGGGCTACTCAGATGGCTACAACCCATGGTGGGGAAGCCCCAAAGGCCCCCCTTTCCTGCTGCAGCTACACATCTGCACACACATTAGGCAGTGACAGGTGTGTTTATAAATGAACGGCTGCAAACTCAGAATTCCTCCCCGAGAGGCCCCAGCCCAGTTCACTGTGGGCCCCACTAAGGCGCATGCCTGGATGCAGGGGGAGGGACTGGGTGACCCCTCACCTCAGGAACACCCTCGCCCCCTACCCTGTCTCATCCTAGGATAGTCTAACAGTGCGGACACACACAGGCATTGGTCAGATATGCCCCTCCTTGGAAACCAGGAAATCAATCATCAGCGCCTCTTCCCCTAGGGACTTCTAAGAGATGCTGGGAAACAGAATAACCCCAAGAGCCGGGAGGAGGCCGCTCCAGCCAGGCCCCTGTTTCTGAAAAAGCCCAATTTCCAAAGACCAGCGTTCCCTCCCCTTCACCAGGACCGCCTGGCAGAAGAGGGACGTTCCTCCCTAGAGGCCTGTCTCTATACTTTGTCTCTTCTTTCCTCTCCCCTGCCCTGCCCTGCCCCTCAGCTTCCTTTTAATGAAATACTTAAAATCCCACTCAGTGACTGTGGGCTTAGCGAAGCTGCCATATGTAACTCCAGGGAGCCCCTTGTAGAGGGAAGAGGAAGGAAATGGGCAGACAGACAGAAGAAGAGTGAGATGTGACAGTTATACAGAACCTCGGTTGAGACCCTTCCCCTCTTTTAGCCTCTAAGCATCTACTGAAAGGGGGCATTGACTAGCCAACCACTAAGGTTCCTCTCTGCTCTAAAGCCTAGGATTCTAAGCCCAGAGAGGTTCCAACGATTTCATGGTCCAAGTTTCCTGAGGGACAGTTTGGCACAATGGATAGGGCACTGGGCTTGGAGTCAAGAAGACTCTGTGCCAGCCCTGCTTCTAACCCTCCCTCCCGGTGTGATCCCAGGCAAAACATTTAACTCTCAGAGCCTCAGTTTCTTCATCTTCAAAATGACTATAATATTACCTGTGGGGCCTGCCTCATGGTGAGGTGTTGGGGGCCTGGAGCATTCTGCAAACTTGAATAAGCTAGATGAATGTCGATTCCTAGTCCAGTGTCTTGCATTGAATAAAAGTTTGAATAGAATTGGATTGTCCTCTGGGACTCAGTTTCCTGAGGGAGAGTCGAATTAGATAGTCACTAAGGTCCCTTCCAGCTCTGTCTGTGGTTCTAAGTGACAAAAGAAAGGCAAGAGACAGTGCAAGACAGAGAAGAATGAGAAGAGACAGAGATTATGGAAGCCATAAATTAATGAGAAACCAAAGCGGAGGCAGAAAAAGAACGAGCCAGAAACCGAAAGGAACAAGCATGGAGACAGACTTTGCAGTCTGCAGCAAGGGTTTCTTTCTGTCAAAAAAACTAAATTTAGTTTAATTTTATTTTTGCTATCAACAGATATCTCTTTTCTCTCCCTCTCATCTCTCTTTCCCTGCCCTCACTGAAAAAGAAAGAACAAAATTCTTGTAGCAAATACATACAGCCACGCAGAATGCAGTCCTTTGTTAGCCACGTCCAAAAGATGTCTGTCTCAATGTGCTCCCTGAGTCCACGCCCTCTGTCAGGAGGCAGGCAACATGCTCTGTCGTGAATTCTCTGGAATCACGGTTGGTCCCTGCCTTGTTTGATCTCCATGTGCCTCAAAGTTGTCCGTCTTTACAATGCTGTTACTATTACATAAATTGTTCTCCTGGTTCTGTAGAGTAGACGTTCTTAATCTGGGGCCATGAACTTGTTTGTTTAAAATGTGTAGGGGTGTGTGTGCGTGTATATATGCACACATACACACAGAGTATACACATGCACGTGCATGCATGTGTATGCATGTTCCATATACAGCAATATAATGCATATGCGCATTCATGTTACACATACTATAAGCGCAACATACATGTAAATGCATACACACATATATGTATGCACATGTCACATATACACATACACACATATATACAGTGCATACATATACATGTATATGCATATGTAATACTTATATAGTATATACTCATATAGTGTATAATTTATATATATGTATATACACATACTTTATATACTATATTGCAACAGAATTGGTTTTCTTTGCAATCCTACATATTTTATTTTGTACATCTAAAAATATTCTTCTGAACAGGGGTCCCTAGGCTTCCCCAGACTGACTGCCAGAGGAGGACCCCAGGCTAAATACCCCTGTCCTGCATTAGAACCAGAGGCTGAAAGCTTCCTGATCAGGATGCCAACCTCTGCTCGGAGCCTTTGTGGGCCTTTTCTCTGTGTGTCCCTGACCCAGCCTCATACCTAACAGAGTCCAGCTACCTGGAAGGCTCCCCGACACCATCTCCAAAAAAAGCAGCCCAGAGCAGATGCCTGGGGCCCCCAGTACATTTTTTATTCCTCCTTTTGCAATCCAGGTGTAGCCCCATGCTGCCTCTGGCGAGAGCAGAGTTTAATCCTAGGATTTCCTCTCTGAGCCACAAAGGATGAACAGGGCTGTGTTCCAGCTCCTGTCCTGAGCCCTACTGGTAAATCTTAGTTGTTTGGGATCCCTGACTGGAAAAAGCAGGCTTGGGCAAGGTGAGATGGGAAGCCCTAAGCCTGGGTGGCCTTCTACGCAGTGAGGACCTTGTGGAGGTATCATGATATAGTGGAGAAACCACTGGACTTGGAATCAGGAAGACCTGGGTTCAAATGCAAACCAGCCACTCAGCAGTAGTAACTTACTTAGTAGCAGTAACTTATCTATACTTGGTGGAACTCTGGGTAAGGCACTTAGTTGCTCTTCTGGAAAGGAGGGGTTTGGACTTGAGGGCCTTCTTAGTTTCCTTCTTGCTCTGAATCCAGGGTCCTGTCTTCTCACCAATCATGATGCCTGAGATTGCTCCACTGGGGCTCACTCATAAATCCCAAACTGAAAAATGTCAGAGCTGAAAAGGAAATCTGAGACCATCTAGGCCAACCCTTTCATTTTACAGATGAGAAAACTGAGGTCCAGAGACAGAGAGGGACTTGTCCAACGTCACACAACCAATCAGTGGCAGGACCAGAACCTGAATCCGGGTCTTAGGATTAGAATCCTTCCCACTACAGAGGAGGCTAGAGCTGGAAGGAGTCTTAGGGTTCACCTGGTCTGATCCCTACCCTCCTTATGACTGCTCCTTTCTGGGCCTTGGTGCCCTTATCTGTAAAGGGGGACAAATAGCCCCTTCCCTGCTTGCCTCGTGGCAGCACTTGTAAGGGTCCAGGCTTAGCATTAGTTAAAGACCCCAAGGACCATGATGTGTGTATACACATGAAATGGAGGAGCTTGTTACACCGGGAGGGAAGTTCTGGCTCCTCTAATTGGCTAAGGGCAGCAGGGCCCATGCAGCTTGGCCCCCTTCCAGCTGCCCCAGAAATCCCACCCTTGCTAAGTCATTGGGCAGTTGGGAAAATGCAGCTGATGGAGGGTCAGTCATAAGAACCAGAGGTGTAACAGCTGGGTCCCCACAGATGCTAGGGCTTCAGGCCCAGAGAACGTTCCACAGGGGTAGAAGTTCTGGAAATAAGGAGCATCTGGGACATGTGGCAGAAACAGTTCCCTCTGGGGTATGCAAGCCTCTCCCCCATTTTCCCTCCCCCACTGGGTTTGCCACGCCTGGCAGCCACTGGCTGAGCTTGGCTCTGGCTAGCCAAGGTGCTGTCCTGAAGGATCAGACTCAAGGAGACAGCAGAGTGATTGGTTTCCTAATGATAAGCAAATCTGAAGTGAACAAGGCATTGGACGTGCAAGTGGCAGGCCAGGGTTTGAATCCTGGCTCTGCTAACCTGTGTCATGCTGGGCAAGGCTCTTCCCTACCTCAGGTCTCAGTTTCCTCATTTGTAAAATGAGAGGATTGAACTAGACAATTCTTGTGACCTGTTAGAGGCAATGCATCACCTTGGAAAGAATCCTGACTTTGTATCTATCCAAAAGACCTGGGTTCAAGTTCTGACTCTGACCCTAGACATATGACCTCGGGGAAGTCTTGACCTCTCCAACCCTCCAATTCCTTGTCTGTAAAATGAAGAAAGGGGTAAGACTAGATAATCTACAAGGTTTCTTCCAATTCCAAATCCTATGCTGCATCAAAACCTGCTTCTCTGTAACATCTATACACTATTCCAACTCCCTTATCTTACAAAAGAGAAAAATGAGATCCAGAGATGGAGAGGAAGGAAGAGTGGGGAAAGGAGGGAAAGGAAGAAGAGAAAGAGGGAAGGAAGGAGGGAAGGGGGGAAGGAAATATTAAGTGCCTGCCATGTGCCAAGCTCTGCGCTAAATCCTTTACAAATAATAACTCATTTAATCCATACAACCACCTGGGGAGGTAGGCATATTATTATCCCCATTTTACAGGTGAGGAAACTGAAGCAGAGGCAGAGTGACTTGCCCAGGGCCACACAACCATTAAGTATTTGGGGCCAGATTCAAACCCAGCTCTCCCAGCTCCACATGCAGCATTCTTTATTGGCCCTAGGTGACGCCAAAGGCAGGGCAGGCTCCTGCAGCTGCACTAACCCCCATCTCCCTGTCTCTCTTCCCTTGCAGACCGAGCCCTGTTTGAGAGCTACACAGAAGGGGAGCTCCGGGAACTCCTATCTGCACTGGTGGAGAGGTCAAGCCCACCAGGGCACTCTGGCGAGCACGCACTGCCCTTTTCAGGCCAGGGAGGGGCTCGGCGAAAGCGGGCCCGGGTCCGCCACCAGCCGTGTGGCCTGCGGGAACTGGAGGTCAGCGTCAGCGAGCTTGGCCTGGGCTACGTGTCAGATGAAACCATCCTCTTCCGGTACTGCAGCGGCACATGTGAGGCAGCTGCGAGGATCTATGACCTTGGGCTGCGCCGATTACGGCAGCGGCGCCGTGTGCGCAAGGAGAAAATAAGGGCCCGGCCCTGCTGCAGGCCCTTGGCCTATGAGGAAGAAGTGTCGTTCCTGGACTCCCGGAATCGCTACCACACGGTCAGCGAACTGTCAGCCAAGGAGTGTGGGTGCGTGTGAGAGCCCCTGGGCTCTGCATTGTCTACCTCACCTGGGGGCTATGTGGTGCCACCAGCCTAACACTCACAGATAGGAGGCCCCCATAGGGTACTCTTCTGACCTCCCTCCCTCACCACCCCACCATGCTGATGCTAGAGTGATCCTGAACCCTGGCCATGGGTAGCCTCCTCAGAAGACCTCACCAGACACCCTGAACCCCATCCTCCGGACCCAGGGGGTCAAGATGCCAACCAGGGCGAGGTATGAGGAGCTCGAGGGGCCCTGAGACAGAGGACACATGGCGTTGGCATCCCAGGAACCAAAGGGCTCCTGCAACTGGCAGTGACCCTGCCAGGCCTGATTGTATATACTTCATTGAGTAACTAACTGACCTTGTACAGGAAATTATATTCTATATATGTGAATCTCGCAATATCTATATCTATATAAAATACCAGTGGATACTTCTGTCCGTCTCCTTCTAGCCTCAGGGAGAGGATATACCATTGGCCTCAAGGTGGAGAGAGGAAGGAGGGTTGCCTTCCAGTTGGCCCCAACTTCAACAGGCTGTGAAACTCTCATTTGGGCTGTCCTGAGGGCTCTATCTGAATCCTCTCTACTTTTCCTTTCCCTCACTCAGGTCCCTAAGAATTTCCTTCCACCCAACCATAACCTGGAAGTGGGATAGAGTTTCCATGGATGGAATAAGGGAATGGGATGGAAGGAGTAAAATTTCCACTGAGTTGATAAGGAAGCAGGATGTGAGTGGGTTGGTTTCATTAGAGAGCTAAGGAGGCAGAATAATTAGGATAGTTTCCACTGAAATAAAAAAGGAGGTGGGATGGTTGGCATAAAGTTTCCATCAGAGTGAAGAAGTGGGATGGCTGGAGTGTTTTCCATTGGTAGATAAGGCAGTAGGAATGACTAAATTAGAGTTTCCATCGGAGAGATAAGAAAGTAGGATGGTCAGGCTAAAGTTTTCATTGGAATAATAAGGTAGTGGGATGGTTTCAGGTCAAGTTCCCCTCCCTTTACCCATTACACTAACTGTCCACACCCCACCCCACCTCCCCATGCTACCAGGCTCTGGGACCCAAGGCCAGCACTCATTCCCAGCAAACTTGGCCCCTCTGAAGACCCAATGAAGCCCAGGTCCAGGGAAGGGAGGCGATGATGCTAACAGCCACACTGAGTGGTTTGCCTTGGTTACAGGGTCCCAAGTCACCCTGGGGCTGGGGCTGCTTCCTGGGGTTTGGAGTCACCTCATCTACTCTCCCTTTGGGGCTATCCCCAACCACATCTACCTTCTGCTCTCCTTCCTAACACTCTCCCTGCCCCGAGGCAGTGCACCTGGGGATGGGGTACTGAGGTCTGTGCACCCCAGCCAGAGACAGAAGTGCTGAGGGTGGCCTTGGTGGCAAAGGACCCCAAATCATAGGATCATAGGATTTAAAGTTGGAAATGGCCTTCAGGACCATCCAGGCCAGCTTCTTCAGAGGAAGCTGAAACCCAGAGAACAAGGGATTTGCCAAAGATCTGGTGACTGGAAAGAACCGATTTTTCTAATGTTTTGAGGACTTTGCAGGCCCAGACTCTGAGGTGGATAGAGAGGCATTATCAGCCCTGTTTTGTAGCTGAGATGCCCAGCCAACCAGCAAGGCCTTGAGCCAGGATTCAAACTCAGGTCTCCCAATTCCAAGTTCCAGTGGGGTGCCCTTTCTATTGCCTCATTCTGCCTTGGTGAGCAGGAAGGGTGCCTGGAGACTAGTCCAACCTCTTCATTGTACAGAGGGGGTGACTGGGTCCCAGAGAGGGAAAGGGAGAGTGATTTGCCCAAGGTTGCACAGCCAGCCACGGGCTTTGGTTTCCCAGCTTCCAGGCCTGGATTCTTTCTAATACCAAGCCGTCCTTTCAGTTAGCACCCTACTCCACCCTAGCTACCTTCCTCCCCTCCCCTCGGCCCCCTAAGCAAATTCTAAATCCAGCATCTCCTTTCTTGGGCTAAAAATACCTACCTTCACCCTCTCCCTCTCCCTCCAGGGCCTGGGGGGGAAATTGTTTGGGCCCCAGAGTGCCCAGCCCAGCATGGGGCCAAAGCTCGTGGTGGCGCCTGGCTAAATGGAGGCCCATCCCCTTGCTGGGCCTGGCTGCTGGGGCTGAGCAAGGGGGTGGCAGGGGACAGGACATTTATGAGTGTTCCCAGATAGAAGGACCCAGGTTTTATTTCTGGGCTGTTGTTGCCCCAATTCCTGACAGTCCCAGGCCTCCGGAGGGTATCAGATTTCTGGACTGTTGGCAGAACCCAATCAATCTTCCCATGGCACAGGAGAAAGGCCTGATCCCACGGCCCAGAGCCTGGAGTAGGAGGGAGACAGGGCCCCTTGGGGGCTTGGGGGAGGGTGGGGGAGATGTGCAATGTAAGAAAGCAGGGCCCTCTGGACCCTGGCAGCTGGGGACCCAATGGGCCTGAGAGCAAGCTTGTGCCTGGGGCATGTGAGACTGAAGGATCTATTCCCAAGGGGAGGTAGGGAAGGCATGCAATCCTTCCCTCCACTGGCATTTTCTGCTTCTCTAAAAGCTAACTTAGTCAGCATGGTAGAGTGCTTGATACAGATCAGAAGACAGGGGTTCAAATCCAGCTCTGCCACTGATATGCCTGTGTGACCTTGGGCAAGTCACTTACCTCCTTGGGGCCTCAGTTTCCTGAGAGAGTTGGACTAGAGGTCCTCCAAGACCCCTCCCAGCTCTCAGTCTACGATCCCAGTTCTGACACTAGCTGTGCGACTCTTCTGAGTCTCACTTTCCTCCTTTGCAAAGTGGAGGGCCAATCTAGATGATTCCTGATCCCCTCTTTCTTCTCAATCCTATGATTATTTTAGGTGGCATTTCCAGAAGCACAGCATCCGGAACAAGGGTGTGCAGAGCCACTGAACCTACCCCTGGCCAGGCCACACCTGGATTCCTGGGCTCCGTTCAGTTCAGTCTTTTTTCAGTCACGTCTGACTCTTCATGACCCCATTTGGGGTTTTCTTGGCAAAGATCCTGGAGTGGTTTGCCATTTCCTTCTCCAGCTCATTTTACAGAGGAGGAAACTGAGGCAAACAGGGTTAAGTGACTTTCCCAGGGTCACACAGCTAGGACATATCTGAGGTCAGGTTTGAACTCTGGAAGATGAGTCTTTCTCGATCCAGGCCTGGTGCTCTATCCACTATGCCACCCAGGTGGTCTACTGGACTCCATACTAGGGCCACATTTGATGAAGGAGGACTCTGCTGAATTGGGTTATGTCTAGAGGATACTGAGCCAAGATGATAGGGGAAACTGACTACGTCACAGGGTCAGCTGAAGGACATGGGGTATTTGGTGTGCAGAATACTTAGGGGAAGCATGATAGCTGTCTTCAGGTATCTGAAGGGCCTTTGTGAGACAGAGGGAGTAGAACTGTTCAGGGAAGTCCCATAAAGGACCAACTGTGGGAGGGGGGAGGAAGTCAGAAGGGGGTAGATTTTAGCTCAACATAAGGATGATTTCTTTTTAACCTTCAAAGCTACCCCACAATGGAACCAATTGTCTTAGAAGAAAGAGTGCTGGAATTAGAATCGGAGGACCCGGGTTCAAATCCCAGCTCTGCCACTTACTAGCTAGATGACCTAAGGCCTGTCACAACCTTGCTGGGCCTCAGTTTTCAATAGCTGTAAAAAGAGGAGGTTGGAGTAGGTAGCCTCATGGTTCATTTCAAGCTCTTGATCTACAATCCCATGATCTTAAGAAAAAGAGCTTCCTGTCCCTGAATGTGTTCAAGGGGAAACCAGATGAGCCCCCATCAGGGGGTCTGCAGAGGAAATTCCTGAGCTGGGTGTTAGAGCGGGCCAGATGATCACTGTGGCCCCTTCTAGCTGTGAAAACCCAGGATCCCACCTCCCGTCCCGTGAACAGCTTCTGAGGCAGCAGCTGCCTCTGGAAGGAAGCAGAGGAAACTAGGGGGATCCTGGGGGAATCAAGGACTCACAGAACATCAGCACCGCAAGGCAACTTGGCCAGCCATCTCACTTCACATGATACAAACTGAGGCCGAGGAAGGAGAAGAGACCTGTCCAACATCAGCAGAAGCAGGCTTAGCTCAAGTTCAAAGACAGACATACACAGGAAGAGGTCGACAAAGAGAGGAAAGAGTCAGAGCAATGGAGAGAGACCCAGAAGACTGCAGACTGACAGTGAGAATGCAAGAGCTGTTTCCCTCAGGGTTGGGAGTGTGTGTGTGACCAACCCAGCAGTCCTAAGGGAACCTTCTGGGGGGAATCACCAGATGTGCTGGGTGCTTTTAGCAGCTGTGTAGCCAGATTGTAGGGGTGGGCTGGGAAAGGCTGCTGGCTTTGTTTCTGGAATGGCCCCAGCCAGTGCTGACCCCTCTGATCCAGGCTGAGGCATCTCCACTCCTTCCTGGTGGGGAGCAGATAAGATTGCATGGCCTGGGGAGCACAAGCTGACCCTCCTGCTCCAAGGTTGTTCGCTATGCTTTGGCTCATGGCTCAAAGGAGAAGGCCTGGATTTGGGGGGGGGGGGGGTTCCTGGCTCTATCTAGTCCCTCACCCCAGCCTCTGACTCCTGGAAGATTTTAAGCTGGGGTCCAGATCTAGCTGAGATGCGTGCTGGGAATCCCTTAGTCCCAAATAATGCCAGGATTGTATCTGACTTAGGTCCTCATGCATCCCAAAATGCATCACCTACAATCCAGAGCAGGGAGAAAGGCAGCATGTGGTTTATCATTCCTATTTAACATATGAGCAAATGGAGGAGAATCACAGAAATGCAGAATTGGGACCTTTGAGATCAGCTGGCCCATCCTTTTATATAAGGGGCCACAGCCCAGAGAGGAAGCAACTTGTCCAAAATCACACAGCTAGTAAGTGGCAAAGCCACTTGCCAAAAGTCAGCAGTGGAACCAAGAATTAGAACCCACCACTAGACCTTTCTCTCATACCAAAGGACTTGAACTAGCTGCTCTCTGACGACAGTGGGAGGGGCAGACGAAGGGCTTCCCAAGAGATGAGGCTCAGGGCCACGAGCACAGTAAAGATAGGGCAGAGGAAGGGCCGTGGCCTTCCAGTCGAAGTACCCAGGTAGGAATAATTTATACTGACTTATTTCTGCCCCTGTGGACTTCCCCTTTCTGGACCTCAGTTTCCCCATGTATAAAATGAGGGTTTTCAATGATTTCTAAAGAATCTTTCAGGTCTAAATTTTTTAAAAACACTATTCTAAGAAGGGGTCTATAAACTGTGCCAGACTGCCAAAGGAGTCCATGACACGCAAAAAATTAAGAACCCCTGTTCTAAGTGGAATGGGCTGCCTCTGTGTCCCAGCCCTAACATTCTATGTTCTAACATTCTATGATCTAAGAGGCCTCCCAGCTCTGACATTCTGTGTTCTAAGGCCCCTTTCAGCTCTAACAGTTTGTGTTCTAAGGG